AAGATCTAATAACACTGATCTTTAGCTTAACTGTGACTTTAGAAATCACTTAACAGAAAATCTAAAAGGAAATGTAGTTTAGCAATTGCTTGTGGAAATTGTCTACATTTTTTCCCAACATCAGGCAATAGAGTGAGATCTACACCTGCATAGCTGTGCTGTTTACAGAGTGCAAGGCCTTTCTGAAGGCTCCCTGAAGATTGGCTGGGCTGCATGATTTTTGATTGCCTTATACCACACAGGTACCAGATACAAGCAGCTTTTACTCCTACTGCCTGTCTGCTGGCACTGAAGGAACAGCTGACAGATTTCTCTAGTTTTACAGATCCCCTTCAGAAAGGACATCTTTCTCATGCTGAGGCATAATTCGCTTTTCAGAGGGAAATGTGGGCAAGGCAACAAAAGCAGTAACAGCAATGAGAAGTTAAAAACAAACTTGTGGAGTTTTACTATGTTGAGGGAATTTAAGGCAGATTTTAGGAGATAGAAAGCTCTCCTACTTCTGTGTGCTGATTTGTTACGCTGCAAACTCTTCATCATCTTAGGATCATAGTAGTATGAAAAAATCAGATTTGGGTTTTGTTACACTATGTGTTGTGCAAAGTAAGAAGATATGTCTTCTTGAGTGAGATTAAAACGTTCTCAGGGATGGATAAATAAATAAATGAGCATAGCAGGTATTATGGAAAATGGGTAGAAGAGAAGATGAGGAATGCAAGCTTTTGCAAAGTTTGCAGGGTTAACATTCTGTTATTACATTGAAAAGAATACAGATATGACATTAGCTGTAGGCATAAATTTCTATTAGTAGAAATGAGTGGAGCTTGCAGGGTCCTGTGTTTTACTCTGTCTTTTGCCAATGTTAATTGCGTGATCTGGCAGCATGATATAATATGTAAGAGTTTGCTTACTGTGTGAGTAAACTTAAAAAAAATAGAATTCAAGGTAGTAGGGAACTGCACCTGGATGTAATCTGCACAAGGTCAAGCAGTGCAGTGTAAAAGGTAGTGACTATGACAGAATCTGGTAGCTGTTCATACAGATTGAAGTATTTATTATTCATATTTTATATAAAACCTGAATTATTCTGTGTCATGTAGTAGTCAGACTAGAAAAGACATCTTTTCTTAATGTTTAAAGAGGAAGGTGTGTTAACTTTACCAGCTCCGAGGTTACATGTCTTATGTAAACTTGTTGCTTTAGACTTTGTTGGTGAAGAAATACAGGCAGCTTCAAAGCTCTGTTCATCCCACCTGTCTCCCAACAGATGCTTTAAGATGCTTTTCTCTTTCATTTAGATGAGAGGGAGCCTTGATCACCAGCAGACAGCAGACACCTAATTTTTTACATTTAATCTAGGTGTGTGAATTCTTATTTGTAACAACTGACTTAACTAAAGGTCAAAGACTTCAGTCCTCTGTACAGCAGTCTAACAAACTCTCCTTGTGATTTTGAGCTAGACATTTCATCAGATACTTTCAGAATTAGTAGTTCCTCTTAAATGCCTGGCTCGTGTCCATCCTTCATTTCTTCCTCCAGGAAGTATTGGTTTCCAGCCTCTGTAGAGAGATTTAAAATTAACTAATAAAATGCAAAATAAGATAGTGCAGTAGGATTGTTGTTTATTCAGCTTCAAGTGGAACCAAGTAAAATTATTTATAGTACAAATACACAGCAGTTTCTTGAAACTAATATTTTATGGCGGGTAGGGGACTGTTACAGCTGTGTAATTTCCAATAAGTCATTTTCTTAGTCTTGTGCCCTACCTTTCTGGCATACCAATGAACATCAGGAGGGCTTGTGATGCTTTCAGGTTAGAGCTAACACTAAAAGCAGTAATTTTCTCTCAGATGTTTAGTGTATACTGATGTTATTAGTCCCACGTCTGCTAGCCTCTGGACATTTTCCTTCCCAGGACCATCATCAAAACTAACTCTGGATATGACTGCATGATGAAAAATATAATATCAGTAGGAAAAAAAAGTCAACAAAAAACCCCACATTAAAATCTGACAGCTACATAGTATCAATACTAGATCATGTGAGGAATAAGACACCAACCCCCCATTTCAGCCTCATTCATTGTTGCCAGTTCTTTCACTCCATATTCTCTTACTCAAGAGTTTTCCAGTACTAGCCTGTAGCAATTAAAGTTATATTAGTGCATGAAATTCTCACTGTTAGGGAGTCTGGATGTCTGGTTCATCCTCCCTGAACATTGTTTTAGGGATGCTAGGGAAACCATTGCATTTTCCAATGACTACAGAAGTAAACATGTATGGTCAAAACAGTTCCTCCACACATCAGGTGCAGAGACTACCTGAAAGGTATCCCAACAGCTCTGATTACATGATTTGTTACCCTTTAAATTCCCCTTTTCCATTCCCATGCTTTTTTCTGCTAACCTGCTCTTGCACTGACAGATACACAGCCTGTCCCTTTTTATACTTTTCCCACCAGCTCTAATGTTGCTGATTTTACATCCTTATTCAGTATTTATGATAAGGTTCCACTAGTAATTTCTGCCTTGGTCAGCAGTGCTAGTACCCCTGTTTGCACTGTTTCTCAGGTTACTCTCTTGACTATGAGATGAGCCATCTGCATACTGCATCACTCTTCTTTTTGCTATTTGTTATGCCTAGTAATTTCTTGCAGTGTTATCGTGTTAATTTAGCAATAGTTCAGGTTTCACAGAATCACAGAATCATTAGGATTGTAATGGACCTCTGGAGATCATCCAGTACAACTCCCTGCCAAGGCAGGGTCACCTAGAGCAGGTGACACACAAACACATCCAGGTGGGTTTGGAATGTTTCCAGAGAAGAGTCTGGAGACGTCTCCACGCCATCCCTGGGTTTGACAGTTTACACCCGTACCCTGGTGAAACTGCTGGTGGAAGCATCTTCTCCTTCATCTTCTAGGTCTGAATTACCAGGAACAGCCCTCATGGCCAGTGACAGCTAAACCTCAAGGGAAACATCAAACTTCGTCTTCTGCTTTCTGCCTACCTCTTGATAAGGCCACAAAATACATGCACATGGTCCAGCCTGTTGCTGCATCTTCTGGCATGTTGCTCTGTATTTCTTGGGTTTTCCTTGACTACCTTACAGTGTGGGATGCTCGTTAACCCTTCTCACCTGGACCAGATAATGACCTGCTTTCTGGTGACTTCCTCCGTTCTCTACCTTGTCTGGCCTCTGAACCATGTGGAGAAGCTGCCCAGAAAGGGTCAGTTATTATGTGCAGGCTCTCTTCCTGGAGATCAATCACCTCCCATTTGTCCAAATGGCATCTGTGGCAACTTGACAGTGGAAACTGATTAAATGGGAATAGGAATGACTGCATTAAAAGAATCTGAGTCCTATGCCAGATTTTCTATGGGGAAGTTGCTCTTCAGCAGCTGGAAAACAAAAAGGAAGAGTTCAGAGAGTTTGTATACTCCACCCGCCCAGCTTAATTCAGGATGACACACTGAAGGCAATCTGTCAGCCTACAAGGTTGCCTATAAAAGTTTCCTTTTAATACAAAGATAAAATAAATGTTTTGGTGTCACAATGGAACTGCACCTTTCAAGTGTTCCTGGTTATTGGCTAGGGAAGAGCAAGAAGAAGTGGCAAAGTGCCTTGTCTAGTCCCTGGTTGCTGCTGCTGTACCACTCATCTGTATGGTGTGTCTTCCTCCTGGGGTTTACACATGCACTGGCAGGGTTAAGAGGTTATTTTTTCCCAAGGCAAAAGAAGGGAAACCCAATCATAAGGCATAATTCCAGATTAAGTAAAATGACTGTGTCTGATTTCATTATCTATGTACTATCAGCTTACATTTCCCTGCCATCAGACCATCGTGTCATATTGCAGTCTGAGACAGCACCTGCAAACCAATCAAGTGAAAATGTAATGAGTATTAGAATTACATTTCTCTATCCAGAAAAGAAATGGATCTCCTTCCACATACAGAGGATTCTTGATACATCATAAGACATATCACCATGCTGAGTAATGAGAACTATGCAGTAGTTTCTCTAGTGGAAAAAAAAAAAAAAGAGAATTTGCAACCTAAACCTCATGATTTGTTTCTTACTGACACTTTAGTAGGACAGTAGGTAATACTTAAGATTAAAAAAAGGGATGAATCTTTGAGTTCAGGTTTGAAGTAAATCCAATTTTTGAATGAATGTAGGGGTTTTTTTATTTTTGGCAAAGTTCACCACTGCTGGAAATGCCAATCTGAGGCAAGCCAATTATGCTGCCACAATAACAGTGCTATGCAAACAAAATTTCTGTTTGGGTAAAACACAAAGGGTGAGCAGAAATTGTCCTTTAAGCTGTCCTTGTAGGTAAAAACAGCTCCCATCAAATTCAGCTTAGACTGGGATTTTAAAGAGAGAGATTTAACAAATCAATTGGCAAGTGTATTAGGAAGACACAAGATATGATTTTGGGGTCACTTCATTACATGTTATTTGTTTAAATGTAGCTAGTCTACCCTGACTCAATTGGAATTCTGTTTCTGTAAAATATTTTGCTTTCCATACAAATTGCTGAAAAGAATTTTCAAAATATCGCTATGTGATAAGCACTTTGTATTCGTAGGATCTTCTGAAAAGCCCATCTGCTATGCAAATTAATATCTAAGAGTAATTTCTGAATAGGGATTCATAAAGGCATGGTTCAAAAAGACAATTAGCATATGTTTACCTTCCAGCGATTTGTGTATAATATAGACTTTTACTTGAATACTTTATACAATGGGGAATGATTTCCTGAGCTGAGGTTGTACTCATTACAACTAGTAATATCAATATATTGTTTGCTTATTAACAGATTCTGTTTGCTCATTCCTTCACCAAATTTCAGCGCTGGAAAATAAATTGTTTAAGTATTCATGAAGCATGTTGTGCATGGTTGTGTTATTCCCACCCTGTGGGAGGAGGTGACTTTTTTTCTCTAGTGCTTTTGAGAGCACGTGTCCCGGCTGAGTCTTTCTGTCCTGTCCCGTAGTGCACCTGGTGGACATCTGGAATGTGATAGAAGCCTTGCGGGAAAATGCACTGAACAACCTGGACCCCAACATCGAACTGAACGTGGCCCGCCTGGAGGCTGTGATTTCAACTATCTTCTACCAGCTCAACAAACGGATGCCAACTACTCACCAGATCAATGTAGAGCAATCCATCAGCTTACTGCTCAACTTCTTGCTAGCGGCCTTTGATCCGTAAGTCTGCCTTCCTTCCCTCCTCTCCCAGCTGGTGAAAGGATTTTACTTACTCTGGAAATATCTTTGGAAAACAATTGAACGAGCTCAATTCTGATCCAAATAACAAGCATGTGAATAGTGCTTACTAGGGAGACAACCTAAATAAAGGACCTCTGCTTTCCTTTCTGTCAAGCCAAATTCAGCACAACTGTGTTTTCATCCAGCTACTCAGACTTGTTCCAGTTTATATCAAAGAAGAATTATCTACAGAAACAAATTTACAGGCACTTCTAATTTGCCTTGTTATTTATTGACACACCAGTGGCTGACAGCACTGCAATGCCTCTGCAGCAGTGCCATGGGTTAATAGCTCATTATTTTGAAAGAGCTCATTTCCCTGCAAATTCTTACAGCTGTAAGCAATTTTTTTTTCCTGGCTCATGCCAGTGCAGCATGATTTTGAGACCAGGACAGAAATAGGACTAAAGACCTGGAGGTGATGAAATTCATGTTGTTTATTGCTGCATGGGAGTCATGTTACAAAAAGAGGAGGTTTGAGATAGAGCGAGCCACTTACCTTAAGTAGTATGCTGCATATACCTATTACAGTTTCTGAATACGTAGTTGGCAACCTGTACTGCAATATTTGCAGTCCTCAAAACTGAATTATTGGAGGACAGTGGTTAAGTCTGACAGATGCAGATTTGTTGCTTTATGGCTTATATTTTGAAAATTCACCAGCAGAAAACACTGACCATGACACATTAAAATGAGGATGCTGCCCCTCTTCCTCTTTCCAGTCCTCTCACTTGATGCCCTGGTACTGGGTGTCATTGAGCACCTTTCGGTGCCAGACCAGCTGGTCGCTCAGTCGCCATGGCAACAGGGAGAAAAAGTAGATGTTCCACATGAGAAGGCTGCACTCAACCTCTCCTCTGCCCCCTCTGAGGGGAAGAAAAGAAGGCAATACATTGTGAAACCATAGCCTTCAGGAATATTTTTTTCCCCTCAAGGGCAATAAAAGAAGGAACAGACATTTTAATTCCTACCATTGTGGCTGTGACAAGAATACTAAGGGATGCTGAAAATAGCCAGATGTATTCATTGCTGCATGCCACAAGCAGACTGCTTCCTGGCTGATGAACACAGGGTAAGACCCAGGACTGTGGAAGCAAGGCCTGTGATAATGTGCTTGTTTTGTAGCTCGCTGTAAAGGAGTAAAGATCTCAGCTAGACAATATGGCTGCTTGCAGCAAAATGGAGGAGAGGAATTTAATCCTCTGTAGGGAATCAGAGAATGTTCTTAAAGGGGTAAGGTTTTTGCTTTCCCTGAAAACATCCCGTGTGCTATGGTTCATGACCTGTTTATAGGCTCCAGTCAGGCCCTCATAGGAGTGAGGAGTCTGTGACCCTCACTCCATTTGTCAAGCAGCATCTCAGTCTGTCTTACTGCTTCTGAGTGAAGTGCATGGGGATACACTTCCCAGAAGGGCATAGACACCCAAGGAACCCCTAGGAAGAGGCTTCCAACTCTGGGGTCAGAGATAGGGACTAGCTGCCTATCACCCCATTTTAAATACACCAAACATCTGGGATAAGACTCAAGTGCAGTCTGAAATATCTAAGTTCAGGCTTCATGGACATATGTGTCAGCTAGGTCTCCCTGGACTGTAATGGGAGTTTGAACATCTGTCTATACTGTCACAAGTACAGACATACCAGTTAAGCATCTGATCCTCAAAATGTGCCCTACCCTTTAGTATGGTTCATATTATTGAAGTTTTGGGTTGGATGTTAGTTTAGCAATTGCAGGGGTAGTTTGCTTTTGGAAGAATTTGTAACGGGAAAGCTAGAAATTCTTGTTTTCCCTTAGGAAGCCTGCAAAGTGCCTTCTCAAGAGGGATAGATTTTTCTTCCGCTTCTGCAGTCCAGAGGGGTTTGCAGAGAGAGCTGTGTTATCTCTCTTTCTCCTATGCTGGAGAGAAATAGCCCTAAAAGACATGTACAGAGGCCTTGGGAAGGCAGGGGAGAAACAGAGAGGATAAAGAGGCCCTGAGAGGATGGGAACTTGCCTTTTTCTCCCTGGGGCCCAGTGTGTTACCATACTGTTAGGTATTTCGTTTCTCGTGTTCTGGCCTTCTAAATAAACTTTCTGAATTCTTTCCACTGCTTTGGCATTTCTGGGGATACCTGCATATCTTACTTTACAGCAACCACTGGTAGTCCAGATTTCCTGCTTGCTTGGAAACGGAGTGAGGGAGGTGGCTCTACTTCCTACAGGGATGGTGTGAGAGCTGCTGGAATCTAACCAGAGCTGATGTCTCTGCTTCCTATGTTGCTCCTGTCCCTCCCCTCCAGTGCAGCAGAAAGGTCATTTTCTGCTGAAGGCTACAAGTTGTTGGAAGGAGGAGCAGGGTCTTTTCTTGTGGTCTCATGCTCAGGGAGAAGCAATGCTTTGCATGCCATCCAGAGAGACTCAGCAGGCTGGAGAAGTGGACCCATGGGAATCTCAAGGGGTTTAACAAGACCAAGTTGCTGCACCTGGTTTGGGGCAACCCCCTGTATCAATACAGGCCAGGGGATGAACAGATCAAGAGCAGTCCAGAGGAGAAGGACTTGGGGGTGCTGGTGGATGAGAGGCTGGACTCGAGCTGGTAATGTGCACTCACAGCCCAGATACCCTGGGCTGCATCAAAAGCAATGTGGCCAGCAGGTCAAGGGAGGTGATTCTGGCCCTCTACTGCTCTCTCCTGAGACACCACCTTGTGTACTGCATCTAGCTCTGGGGTCCCCAGCACAGGAAGGACAGACATAGACCTGTTGGAACAAGTTCAGAGGAGGGCCATCAAGTTGATCAGAGGGATGGAGCACCTCTCCTATGAAGACAGATTTTTTAGAAGGGCATGTAGTGATAGGACATGAGGGAATGTGTTCAAACTTGAAGAGGGTAGGTCTAGACCTAAGAGGCTAAGATATCAGGAGAAATTCTGCGCTATGAGGGTTGCGAGATACTGGAACAGGTTGTCCAGAGAGGTTGTGGATGCCCCATCCCTGGAAGTGTTCAAGGCCAGGCTGGATGTGGCTTTGAGCAGCCTGGTCTACTGTAAGGTATTCCTGTCCACGTCAAGAGGGTTGGGACTAGATGTTCTCTAAGGTGTTCCAACCCAAGCTGTTTAATGTTTCTATGATATAGAAAGAACAGAGGTGGAGCTGTGGGCAGGATGAAGTGTTCTCACTCTCCCCTCATTTATAGGAACTGGAAAGTTAATTTAAGTCATCTGCAGTCTTCTCTGATGAAAGAAGATGGTTTATTAGGTCCATGAATCATACTGAAATAACAAGAGCCATTCTTAAAACAAATCTGTTTTCTTTGATCTGGGTTCACTCATTGGTTCCTTAGCCTTATGTTTTAAGGAAACAATTGGCCTGCAGAGATGCTACTTGAATTTCTAGGTGACTACTGAGGAATTATTTTTCATATTGATTAAGGAATGTTTATATGATCACATTTGATGTTATGAATACAGACAACAATGGAAAAAAAACCCCAAACCCTAAAATACCCAGAACAGCTTTTTAAGAGCAAAACAGTAGACCAAGACCAAATAGGTCTTCAGAGTAAATGAGAAGGCTGTTCTAAGTGATCATGGGTAGGTTTGTGCTGTGTCTGCAATATATGAAAGAACCAAAAGAGACAAGTTATTTCACATTTTAAATAAGCCTACAACTGTCTCTTTTTTTAGTTCTTGTTAATATATATGTTGCTCTGTGAGTATTGTGCTAGCTGAAAATCCTCCAAGCTTTAAACAGAGCTTCTTCGTTTGTTTCTAGCCCACTGAAAACCTAGCAGGTTTCTCTGCCCTTTGGCAAGGACTCTTTCCCTAGGCCTGCAATACAGATGTCTTCTCAGGAGCTAAAACTTGGCTAGAACAACGTAAAAGGAACAACAGTGCAGTGCAATGGCATGTGTGCCAACTTGGCCACTGCTTGTGCTGAGCTTACATCCCATTTTTTTTAAGATCTTTTCATGGTGTTGGGGATTCATTAAGCCTACAGATAATTATATTTCTCTGCTGCTCAACCCTGAAGGGAGGAAAAGTGGGGGAAAATTATAGAGTATAAAATTTCACATGACACTGAGTGTGATGTTCCTTCATGCTACTAAAAGTAAATTAAGGTGCAACCTTATAAAACTGCACGTCAATAAATTCAAAATTCAAAAAGATACTTCTGCAATTAATTTATCATGAATGCGTGAGAGTCAGCATCATGTGGTAGATGACCCTGACAGACCAAAACTGATGAGCAGAATGAGGTGGTCAGACTTGAAAAAATCTGGAGAGAAGCTTGCCTGATCTACGTTTTTAATTGCATGTTAAAATTGGGCAGTAGCTTTTGCTTCAAGGCCTAAGGTGATTAAGTGGATTTATGAAATAATAACACATTTCCTTCCCTGGCATGCCAGGTACTATAAAAAGTTGACAAGTTCAAACCTCTTTGAAAAATTTGTCCCAGGTTGGTGTCAAAGCCTAGGCAGCTAGGTGGAATGCCAGCCTTATTCAATCGAGTCATTCCCTAAAAGACTATCTTTAAACAGACTGTGAAATAGTCTGTACTAGATCATCTCCAACTATTCCTGCTGCAATGTTATTACTGATAGGAAAATAGCTGAATTTTTTCTGTTCCTTGACATACTTGTCCTGTGAATGGAGTTGTGGGCTCTGGGCTGTGAAACAGACTCAGTCTGGCTGGGGGAGCTTGACTTCTACATAGAAAAGAGGAAATAGTCATGCCCATGTTTAAACAAATGCACATTTGAATAATACTGATTTCAATATATAAAGATGTTTGGTATCTGTTTTGGAAATATAACTTCTTGCTCATCCATCTATTCAGAGCAGTGAATTGTTTAATTCCCTCTCTTCTCACCTTTGCTACTCATTGAAAGCCACAGAGGCCAGCTAGCTTTTACAAAGGAAGTCCAGGGAAAAAAATGCATTTCAGAGATTTGGTAATTATACATTTTGCTCTCCTACATGAAAAAAATTTGCTTGATTTCAATAATTTTTTTTCTCTGAAACACATTTGTGAAAAGGAGAATTTGTAATTGCAGCCTCTGACATTTCAGAATTGACTGCCCTGATTAGAGTGGGTAGTAAGAGGCCTACCAGTAACCAAAGAAATTATATTACTTTTGGATAAGATACCTTACAGTATTGGAGGAGCACCACTTCATGCCTAGTTAATGAGAAAAATTGTATATTCTCCATGTCCATTTCATGGGACTCATTTGCTACTTCTAAAGATGTGATGTTATTTCTTTATAGCTTTCTCCAACATATGGCTGTCTCAGTACAAATATTGCTAGAAATCCTGACAAATGACAGTGTCATCCATTTGGTACCGCTCTCCTCGGTGACCCAAAAGGCAAATTCAGGCCCTGAAGCTGGACTTAGCCTTGTATGGTCTGTGGATTTTGTCAGGCAGTCTGTGAGGTTTCTCTGGGGACAAGCTGTCTCCCTCTGCAGCTGTGCATTAGAAGAAGAAACCTTCTGCTCTGTTCTGGTGTCTTAACAGCATGTATTATTTTCTGTCCTTTTTTCCCCAAGCAGAAGGAGATAACCTTAAGCCCTGGCCATCATTCCCTTTCTTAAGTACTCCATCCTGTATTGTTGCTAAGTGCACATCAGCTTCAAGGTTTGCTTTTGACATGATTTATGCTTCTAATGCTTTTCTGTAGGATTCTGAAGAGTAACCTCAGTAAGAGAGGTGATATATAAAATCAAAATATTTTTTGTCCTCTTCTGTTTCCATTAGTAAAATTCATATCTCTTTGCATTAGCCAGCCTAAAGCTTCTTTCAGGGAGCACTGACTTCTGTAGAGCACTTCATGCTGCCGTGAGCCACTTCTTCAGCATTTGCTTTTGCATGGCAAATACTGTGAGGCCCCAGTGCTGCCAGTCAAGGGCATCTGTAGTGCTTAGACGTAGCTTAGGGCCCTTCTGGATCCAAATGACATTGGCAAGTCTCAGGCCCCATTATCCTGTCTGTTCATCCGTCATATGTATTTATATATGCATGTGTGTATACATATGCACACACACACACACACACACACACAGAGACATATTTGGAGGGCAAATTGAATTTATGCTGGCTCTAGTGATGCTTTTATGAATACAAATGACCGATACAAAATACAGTGTCAAAACTAATCAACTCAAATGAAGAGATTGAAGAGATAAATGAAATCTTTTCCTTTTCTGCTCCTCTGTTCTATAATCGTGTGAGTATGGGAAAAGCCGATGGCTCTGGGCTGGAAAGCTGAAGCCAAGATGATATGTGTCTGCCATTCAAGATTATAATCCTATTAGTAAATGTAACTAAACCTCCTGGGAAAAATTATCTAAATCTGAAGCACTTCCACATGGGCTTTATTTTTTCCTCTGAATCTTCCATTGCTTCTTAATAACACCATTGCTTCTGCTTAGCATGTCTTTTTTTAAGTATAACAACTCTTTAAAGGCAGGTGGAAACCTCATGATGAAACAGTGCAGAAAAATTCCAAAAGGTCTAAAGGGTAGCATGCACACAAAAAATACAAAATGACTGCATTTTCAGCCATAGCAGTGCTAAGTCATGGTTTACACGAATCAGAATCCAGTCAACAAAGGATGGAAGTACAGAAGTCTGGGAATTACTCTGCTGGGATTCTAATCTTATGAAGCCAGTCAAAGGGAACTCAATGTAGTGAAAAAGAAAATGTGCACAAAAGAGCATTAAAGAACATAGTAAAGATTTCTTTCTTAAATACTGAAGTGGTGAATTTATTACTTTTTACCTGTATTTCCAGTTGATTTTCTGACAAAAAGCAGAATTTTAAATGAGTGTAAAGGATAATCAGAATTAATATTTATAATTACGTGTTACACTGATGTAGAACTAAGTCCAATTCACTGAACTTTAAAGATTATTAGTTAGTCAAGCTTAGGGAACTGACACATTTTCTAAAGTCCGAGTGACTTAATGAACGTAGCGGTGAAGCATGTAGCATGCTTTATCATACAGATCTGAGCATACAGTTCATGTCTATCTTACATGTATATGGATATGTAGAGAAAGAATGAGGATAGCAAACAATGTAATACTAAGCTTCATATATATAATAAATGTGCTCTGAGATCTTTACAGAACAGTGTACTGATGTGTGTTCTCACAAAACAAACTTTCCTTGTAAAGGTCTTATTTCACTGTATGTCGATCCACGTATATTGTGCATTACAATAAGTGATGTCAGTGATATGCATTTTAAATGGACAGAGGCTCATTTTATAAAATGGACATGTAAATTATGGCTACTTTCTACTTTTGAACAGGGAAGGACATGGTAAAATTTCCGTTTTTGCTGTCAAAATGGCCTTGGCAACTCTTTGTGGAGGAAAAATCATGGACAAATTAAGATGTAAGTCTTTTGGGTGACATTTTTTACCTGTTAAAAATCTGTTATTTTTGAGAAATAACAGTACAAGTAGAAAAGAGGGGATTAGGATAAGTTAGAGTTTCGTGTCTGGATTTGAGATTTGCACTATAAATTTCTCCAGATAAATCCTACTAAACGTTTGGTTGAACTTCTCATTGAACTTCATATTTTTAAAGCCAAATTGCATATATTGAGCTTGAGTGGTGGATTCTATTTTTTTTTCCTTTGGGATTATTGAATTCAGAGTACAGGTTGAGAGCCTTGACATCATGAAGCATCATTCAGCAATTTCTTCTGATTATTTTTTAGTAACAATCTCATTTCACACGTAGAAGTATGATATATTTATGGACTATTTATATTTCTTCCCACAGGGCACATTCTTATGCCATCTATTTTGGTGAACAGATTCTCATTCCACATGATTTATTCCCAGTTTTCCAATAGCAAAGGCATAGTTTACTTGTAGGTGCAGTGGAAGAGTTTCTGTTTAGTGATATGATGTCTGTAGCTCAGGTCCAGACTTTTGGACCAAAGAAACCTTCAGTTTCCCCTGGGCCTTCTCCCTCAGCCCAAGAAAACAGAGTTTGCAAATTGATGTTTATTAGAGTAGACAAGTAGAAATCCCAGGTGTTGATTTAGTCTTCCAGATTTGGTGCCATTTTTTAATATATTATTTGTATGTAGAAACTCAAATACAGACTGCACTAAAGTTATAAATTATAAATTGAGTAGTGCTATAAATTGAGCACTGTTTGTTCCTTAGTCTGCTTTAGGAATAGGAGCAGGGTCCTTCCAGTGGAAGGCTAGAGTACAATGATGATTTTTTGGGTCAGCAGTCCCAGAGTCCTGTTGTCAGAATTTCCTGTCCAGGTTCCTGGAAATGAAGCAACTGACATGACAGCCTGAAAAACAATAAATGTTCCTTAGTCAGTGATCTCCTGAAAAGCACAAGATAATTTTAAACAAGCAGAAAAGTCAAGCCTTAGAAACATTCATCTCTGCAATGATAAAAGGGTGATATTTTTGTACATAAAAAAAAGGAGAAGAGTGAAAAGTAATGAATTTGCAAGACCTTCAATGCTTTGTGTGTCCAAAACAATAATAACTGATTTAATGAACTCGTTGTCAAGATTTTGATTTGACGCGGTAAGCTGGCAGTAGGCAAAAAGCTGATGTTGTGTATCTTGTCAAATCAGAGCCTTCTTATCTGATCAAATTACTGCCTCACGCTGTGCATCAGACTTTGCTTAAAAAATGACCACACAAAAAGAAAAAAAAAGTCAGGAATATTTTAGTATTAAAATCAGCTACTTTTTTATATGCAAATAATTCTCTTTGTTTTCTATTGAAAGAGGTTGGAATTAAAGATGCAGTAATAGTGGAGGTTTCCATAAGCAAAACATGTTTAGGGGTTCTGGTTCAAATCAGATGATACTGAATTCAGAGCAAATCTGTAGCTCTCACTGAAACTGCTGTGTCCTTTTCTTGTTTCTTCCCCCCTCAGACATTTTCTCAATGATTTCCGACTCCAGTGGAGTGATGGTTTATGGCAGATACGACATGTTTCTGCGGGAGGTTCTCAAGCTGCCCACGGCTGTTTTTGAAGGGCCTTCATTTGGTTATACTGAGCAGTCAGCAAAATCTTGTTTCTCACAACAGGTAAATGAAGAGTGAGCGTCCCAGACACAGGATCTCAATCACTCCTTCGAGCAAGCCAACACTTTCTTCCTTTCTTACGTATATGTGCCTATTCACCCAGGAAACACATGGCTGGATGGAGGGAAGGTCCACTTGGCTGATTTTTGGCATGTAGATTTGGTGCCTTCAATAGGAAGCTGGTCTCTGTAGTTTCCACATATAACCAGAGGGGACAGAGAGGCTTGGTCAGAAAGTGATTCAGAGCAGGATTTTGACTTACATGTTCCTAAATTAGGGAGGCTAAGGAGGCTAATTTCCTAATTTAAGCACCTGTTAGATATTTACATTTAGGTGATATGCACTCCTACACTCTGCTTTGTTGTTGTTAGTGTAAGCATACACAGGACTTCAACTTCCCCATAAAAAGCTCAAGTCCCACCAAAAAAATCAGACTGCAGGTTTTCCCAGTGAGACACACACAAGAAGTTTAGGAGTGAGAAGAAAATCGCCTTAAAACTTTTTTGAAAATGGGAGTCAGTATGTATTAGGAAATCCTTAGTCTCTTACCAATAACACCAGGGACATAGCTCGGGGAAGCAATGAATTTATCCTGAAGAAAATACAAGATTTTTTCACAGCTCACCAGACTCCATAGGCACACTAAGTACAGTACACTGGCTTCAGGTAATACACAGCACTTCAAAAGATCCCATAATCGAGGCTGGTTGTCCATTTCTCCTGTGGAGAAAGAGAGAATTCCTCTGCTTTTGCCACACATCGCACTGTGTAATTCCATAAATATAAAGTAAGGGAAGATGCTGAAACTGGGAAAACATTGTAAATAAAGTTGTATTTTCCTTCCATTCACTAATTGAATACTATTGAACAAGTAAGTTCAATGGAGCAGGAATAGTGTCATTTTCATGCAAAAGAGTCTCATTTTCTGTATTCCCTCAGTTTCATCACTAATCAATAGGCCCTCCAGTCAACCGAAAGGCATTGTTGAAATTCATTTATTGAATCATCTCCCAAATCATTTAAATTGCATGTGTGAAACTAGTCTTGTTTCACAGAGGGAGACAATACAGCACTTCATCTTACGTTGAAGTTTACATAGTGAAGTGACTTCTTGTAGTTTTGTGTTAAAGTAATGAAAGAGTGCTCTTGCGTGGCAACAGGGCGTTCAAGCCTTGCATGTTGGACATGCTATTATTACAGATGAAAAAAGGAATTTCTTTTCTTGAAAAAACGTGATTCAAACGTCGTTTTCTATCTCAGTAGCCATCAGAAATGATACTTTGTTTGAGAGCAACCAACTGAGTGGAGCAGATGCATTAGGGTACCTTAAAAAACAAAGTTTTCAAGCAGGCATTAGATGGTTTTGTTCACAAGCTCCATTTGCAGCTAGCGAGTTAAGTCTCTGACTGATGTCAGTACACAGCAGATTTACTAAGCTGCTGTTTTGTATCTGGAAGCAGCCAAGTACTCTTTTAAATCTAGTCTAATATTTCACTTAAATTGACTTCATGTAATTCTCATTACATCCTCACTAGGAATGAGCCAGAGTTTTGAAATGAGAGTCAAAAAAAACCCATATCTCTGTGACACTATGATAAATGGTATTTACAGTCATAGTCACACCGTAAGTCGTTCTTTCACTCTCATATTGCACTTAGCATCATCAAAAGCTGATACCTTGGAATAAGTTTGGCACTCTCTCTTGTTGTTCTCACTCTGGATCACTTTTTCTGACCAGAAGCCTTTCAACCCCCTGATACATATAGATTCTTCAATTTCAGGGTGAGAAAAGATTCTGGGAATGATCTTTTGGCTCATGGTGTCAAATCCGTTTCAGTTTACATCTGAAAGGATTTTTCCTGTTGCAGAAATGTTTTATTTTTCCCTATTGTACTGGTTTACTTGATCAAACCATGTATTTTCCTCTGCCTGTGAACCACTGCTAGATTGAATGGCTATTCAAAGTAGAAACAACTGTTTCCTCATCAGCAAATTTATGGAACAGAAATGCCAAAGCAAGTGACTTAACGTTTCAGAAAACAAATCTGTGGCTCAAAAAGGAATTTTATCGCCACCACTTTCTCCCATAGGTAGGACTGATGCGATGTTATATATAATGTGTGCATTAAACAGTGTTGTTACTAATGTAAAAACCACTTTTTAAAAAATTCTCTTCTCTTATCCCAAACTGAAAAGATAGACACTAACTTCATTTTTTTAGCACTTGTCTAAGTGTTATTCCACAAACCTAGACTCCATCTGTATGTAGCATATATTTAGAAAACAGCTTTCAGTTTCAACTTCCCCAGCATCTGAAACAAAACTGCAGGAGGAAAATGTATGGAAATTGCTCTGATGGTGTCTTTTTAAGGGACACTGCTCTCTCTAATCCATAAAATCAGTGATCACCAGAGCAGTTTGGCCATAAAGCTGTCATTGAAGCTGAGTTGCTTTATTTGGTGCAAATCAGGTTTTAAGTTATGGCTGCACTCAAAAACCTATTGCATTATGGAAGATTGTCTCCCCATCTATTTGCTTGTTTAGACCCAATGGGTGTATCCCTTCAAGAGCAGAGGGCTACTCAGCTCTGCAGTATGGGGCACTGGATGTCCCTTTTTTCCTCCTGTGTTCTCAGTTCTGCTGCCAATAACACAGACATTTGCTGGCAGCATTGGTCAGCAAAGCCATGCCGGGCATCCACAGCAGATCTCCAAAAGGAAGATCCTTTCCTGTGAGCTGATGCCTATAGCATAAGATGCCTATTTGGGAAGTGGTTATCTGCTCACCATGGCTGGGAAGATAATTCATACAACAAGCAGATGGTAGTGTTTGACTGGACTTTCATACTGCAGGTATTGTGGGAAAAGATGGTATTCCAGTGAGATTTAGAGCTCATATTCTGGCTATTTCTATTCATTATAGAATCAAGACCATTTTCACACTAGCCTGAAGTATTTTCTCCTAGGGACAAATATATATATCTTTCCCAATATCTTGCAATATTTCAGCCCTGAGACGGTTACAGGGTGAGATGTTTTTCATTGATCACTCGGTGTATAAAAGAAATAATGTTTTTATTTACATCTAGTGGTAATTGTGTATAAATGGAGCACAGACACTCCATCTTGAAACCTCAACTCTTAAAAGAATTCCACAGCACACGGAGATGATACATGTCACTGCATAACTGCTGCTTTGCTTTCTCATGGGGTAACCGCAGTTTTTTAGCAAATTAAAGCAGTAGCTTATGCAATCAGAGATGAAGATTTAGCAATCCCTTTGGATATGGAGATACTACTTAAATATGTATGGCTATAAAAGATATCTGCATATATTCTCAACGGGGCTCTATATTTTTGCATCTTAAATTTTATTTAAGGAAGACTCAGATGCTGATTGAAAAAACAAACGAACTAAGATTTGTGATAACTTTTTCCAGACACCTAAGAAACTTAAGGCCCTAGATTGCATTTTTAAAATCAACAGGGATATTTTAGAGTTTAAATCTCTTTGAAATTTAAAGGGGCATAGACCTTTGAGTGCTTAAAGGTGTCGAGAGTTTAGGAACAGTTGCAGTCCCTGAGTGCTGGCAAACATGACATCCCACAATCATAACAATCATAACCCATAACTCATTACCATCACTCCTCAGATAAGCATGGTTTCTTAAATTACAGTAACAACTTGCCTATGATGCTCTGTTCTTACCCTATATTTGTTTCAAATTTCTACTCCCTTGTCAGTATTTCCTTTAATTTTCTGTTTTGGAGTACTATCAGCCATTCTCTGCAGTGACTTCTCATTTGAAAATTGGTCATACATAGTGATACCCTACATGCACTTGTACTTATTATGTGATACTCAAAACACATGAGAACATGAAGGGTTGAATGCCACCCTTAATCACAAAGCATTTTCAGGCAGTGACTCTAGAAGAGAGTCTGGAAATGAGTGGGAGCTAGGTGTCTCCAACCCAGCCTTGTGAGGACTGTTAGGCATCAGTTGTATCGCTGTAGCAACTAAAAATAGTCTGGAAAAGCTTTACTAGTATCACTTGTTCTTTTTAGTGAATCGGGGCTTCAGGCAAACAGTATTTGAAACTTGTTCCCAAGTGTTTCTGTAACAACAAGATAAAATTATTTTGAGATGTCTAATTACTGATTTTTGTGCATGTTTGTGTGCTTGTTTGAGCAGAAAAAAGTCACATTAAACACTTTCTTGGATACTCTCATGTCTGATCCCCCGCCACAGTGTCTAGTGTGGTTACCACTTCTGCATCGACTGGCAAATGTTGAAAATGGTAAGTAAGAGACGCTGCCAAAACGGAGTTACAAGAGTAAATTTTTGTGTGATAATTTCCTCATTCTGTAGATGGTTTTGTAGAAGCTACTGTGCTTGGGTTCATTGACTCCATGTGCAATTTTTACAGTGACTGGTAAAATATTTGAAGTAGTCTCTTGGTCATTCAGCCAGGAATGTGGCTTGAATTTTGCTATGCTCAGATTAACCTGATCATGTCCTCTCCTCCTGTGCTCTGGACCAGCAGAGAGCAATAGGACTTGATCCATTCCCACACTTCTATTTGGTAAACTGTCAAGACCACAACTTTCATTAGCTATGACATATGGCAGCAGAGAAGAAACAGCTTGGCAGTTTCCATTCCTGCAGTATTCTTGGCAGGAGATGTCCAGTGCAGTGCAAAATACCAACCAAAAGGTCCTTATGAAGGATCTCCTCCTACGCCTACATTGCCAGACCATATACTTTGAAGAGGAAGTTCTAGATTCATCCTTATCCTTTGCGTGTGTGGAAGATGAGGATTTAACTGTGAGATGCCTCTTTCTCCTCAAGGGTTGTCTTTTCCCAAAATGAGTAGATCACAGATTTTAGGATAGAAAGGGACCGTGAAGATGAACTCATTTGATTAATGCCCAGTGCCTGTTGCATGTCCCTGGACAGTATCATCTTCCTCAGCCTTCCAACTTCTTGAGCACCTGGGGAAAAGTTCACAGACTCACAGGTGTAGTCCCCCAGCCAAACCTTTCATATACCATTGCTATAGAAGGTGCTGCCACACTGAAAGTGCAGAGGCAGAGCTAGAGGCTTGTGCATCTCATCTCACTGTGTGCGCCACCAAATTGCAGCCCACAAACTCTGTACAATTCCTCGTATAGTTCTGGAGGAGTTCCCCAGCTCCAATGCAGATGGCTTCTGCTGTCCAGAAGGATCAGAACTGCCAATATTAAATAGAAAAAAACCCCATGAGGCAGGAAATGCCTTTTTACTGTCTTATTTATCAGCATGTAATGTGGCATTTCTTGCTCACGGTCATCAAGACGCAGTGATTCTGGTAGTCATTATTCCAACACTTTAAATCTAGAAAAAAGGAGAAAGTTTTAAAATGGAGGAAATTTATACCAAAAAATTGAGATATTAGTTTAACAAGATTAATAGATTTTTCAAACAATTTTACCACTCAACATTTTGCCTCGGAGGTTGTTGTGTAAGGGGCTTATTAAATATTTCTGTGTTGTTGCTCCCTTGAAGGCTTACCTCAAGCATAACTGAAGCTTTGGGACACTGGAAAAAGAAGTGTGGGACAGAAGGAAAAAAAGATCATATATAGTCAATCCTGTTAGGCAATAGAAATATTTATACCATACTTCCAACAAGAAAATGGGGCTGGTGGAAGGGGAGATGTGCATCTATTTTTTGTTGATAAAAGGAAAAGGAGAATGTTGCATGTGTTCTTGTACTGAATAAATCCCTCTTACACTGAAAGGCACTGAGGAGGGTAAGGTGATGTTCCCAGTCATTTTTGGCTACAGAGCAACCCATTTACCCCACCTGCTTCAAGCTCTTGTCATCCATCTCTCTGTCCCTCACCAGCTTCGCGGTTTTTCCTAGCCTAGAGCACTAACCCCTCCTGCTGCAAAATTCTGGCAAGAAATTAAAACCCTGACATCCTCAGCACATACAAATGCTCTCAGACTGAACCTTAAAACAGAAAAGCAGAAGGTGCCTGGGAACGAGGAGATGTTCAGTACCCTGTGGTAAATTGGGTACATGCTGTAGTGAGGAGAGAGGAACAGAAATAACACTATTGCCAGGAAGGTGTTTCAAAATATCTCAGTTGGTGCCTTAGTGTGCTCAGTGACTTGCATCCTTGTCTTATCTGCTTCTGAACAGAGAGCAGGAGTACACAGATCCCCTTCAGTGGCCAGCTCTCCAAATCTAGGCATCCAAAGCCAAGTGTTCAACACCATAAATAGGTACCTAAATGACACCAGTTGTACAGATGAGACGGCAGTAATTAAGAGACAATGACATGCCTAAGGACAGTTTTGTGCTTTCAGTAATCAGACAGCTGAGTTTGACTTTTCCTCCAATGTGCATCACTTCAGCTCCTTACAACACAACAAAACATTCAGCTATCCTCAGTAATGCAGCTGAAGGGTTTTCTCACATACGAATTTCCTCTAACATAGACTCATAGAATGGTTTGGGTTGGGTGGAATCTTGAAGATCATCAAGTGCCAACCGCCCTGCCATACACAGGAGCACCTTCCACTAGACCAGGTTGCTCAAAGCCCCATCCAAGCTGGCCTCAAGCGCTTTCAGGAACAGATCATCCACAACTTCTCTGGGAAACCTGTTCCAATGCCTTACCACCCTCACAGAGAAGAATTTCTTCCTAATATCTAATCTAAACTTACCCTCTTTCAGTTTGAAGCCATTTCCCCTTGTCCTGTCATACATGCCCTTGTCAAAAATCCCTCTCCACCTTTCCTTAGCCCTTTAATTACTGAAGCTGCTCTAAGGTCTCCCCTGAGCTTTCTCTTTTTGAGGCTGAATAACCCCAACTCTCTCAGCCTGTCTTCACAGGAGAGGTGCTCCGGTCATATTTGTGGTCCTCCTTTGGACTCAATCATTCTGTTAGATGGTGAACACATTTTTTGCTGCTCCAAGCAGGATGTGCAGACATCAGCTCGGAAGTGAAACAGGGTTTGTTGTCCAGTGTAGGAAGTGGCTCAGCACAGGTTGAATTATTTTCACAGGTCAGAGCTGTCGACAGCATCCAGCACTGCAGATTTCTTTAAACAAAGAAGGGAACACCTTCAGTTTAGGGCTTTGTCCATAAACTTTTGCTGAGTGTTTCTTTGTTTTGGTTTATTGCTCAGCATTTCTTTCTCCTGCACAGTCTTCCACCCCGTCGAGTGTTCCTACTGCCACAGCGAGAGCATGATGGGGTTTCGCTACCGCTGCCAGCAGTGTCACAATTACCAGCTCTGTCAGGACTGCTTCTGGAGGGGCCATGCCAGCGGTTCCCACAGCAACCAGCACCAAATGAAAGAGTACACGTCATGGGTAAGGGAAGGCTCGTGCCTCACTGCAGACTGCTTTGCCCTCCAGCCATCGGAGAAGCCCCTGGCCGCAGCTCTGGGCAGCTGTCTGGAGCCAGGGAGCCGGGCTGCCAGTTTGGATTAGTGACGCTGTCTGGGAGGCTCCGGTCTTGGGAGCCATCAGGAGAGCGTGGAGGTGGTAATGATCATTTCTGTGTGAGGATCTGGGGCATCTGTGACGGTGTGTGCCGCGGTGAGGGCAGCGCAGGAGGGGCTGGCAGCAGGGCACCAGGCTCATGGCAGCTTCTCCCGTTCCCACGGGACTCACGGTAAAATCGTCATTGGCTTGCTCTGTTTGGCTACGTGTAAATGAAATGATGAATACTTGATGCTCATTCATCAATATTTTCAGTTGAGTGGCTGCAGCATATGCGTAGCATTTGGGATGGTCCTGGCACTGTAGATTTGAGTGTGGTCCCAGGCTTAGATCCACAGTGGTGTTTACTATTAGAGACAAACACACTTCAAACTTTTTGTCATTAATCGGAATAACTCAATGTTTTTTCTAAGCTGAAAGAGAAGTATCAACAGCTACATTAACTTTCTCTGAAGGGCATCAGACCTGGGGACTAAGCTCTCCATGGACTGGAGCAAAGCTCCAACAGAAGCCCTTGGTCACAGAGCGTCACAATCCTTCAGGGTTCAAATCCAGAGAGCAGCAGAAAAATCCTAGCTAATCTCAAACATAAGAGAAGAATATTGTTTAAAATATAAAGTAAAATAATGCACATAGCAAGAGCTCATGTTTTTACACTACTTAGTATGTATTTTTTAACGGAATTCTGAAGCTTAACACTTCTAAAATGTCTGGTTTTCTGTTGATGGAACATTCAAGGGTTAAATTTGATGTGGTTTGCTCTGTATGCCAGTCATACAGCCCTGCACTGTATCCCAGCAGACCTGGGTCTGTAATTGTTTTTTGTGGGTCCTAGTTGCTGCTTGTTGCATAGACACAAATGGCTGGAGTTTAGTCTCTGAATAGGAGAGTGCCCACTATGTAGCTCTGACTCTATTCCTAACAGTAATCTGTGCTATAAAATCATTTTTTGCTGTAGCCAGGGAGCTGTAGTTATAGGTAGGAAGTAATTGGAAGACTTAGCATTTCTGCTCAGCAGAAGACAAAAATGTGACTACATGCCTGGTGGTTTCAAATATTTCCTTGTCAGAAACAAATGTTTTGCTTCAAGTTTGAAATTGCCTTTCTGTAGCATGCATTAGCATTTGTTCAAACCTGGTTAGCATTCTCCATAATGCATTCACATCGAGCTCCACATGCAGATTAAGAGTGTTTATGAGTGCAGTGGAACTCGACTGTACTCAATTCAGAGTGAAATTGCATTTATAATGGAAGAGCCTGAACTTTACATATTTATGTTGGATTTCTGTAATAGAAATATTTCATTATTAAGCTGATTACAGTCATAAGTCGATGCAGGATGCGTATGCAAAAATACAATGCTATTCCTGTCAAGTTCCAAAAAGGTTTTTAAATTTCAGCATGTAGAGCTATTTTTTGGGGGAAGCAGACAGTGTAAGGATCACTACCCCTCTTTTACTGGCAGAGAAGCTGAATCACAGAGGGCTGGGTTAGATTCCCTGAGAATCTCACACAGCCTAAAAGACACCATAGATCTCCAAGCCGTTCCTTAGAAGGGAAGTTGAGTTTGCTCCTCAGAGAGCCGCCAAACAAAATTATAAAGCAGAAAATAGTTTGTTGGGGTTTTTTTTAGACTTGCTGATGGAATTTCAAGGTGAAAATCATGCTTGCACAGAGCCTCCCCATGTTTTGGTGACTGTGACAGTATGTCAGCCTTTTTTGGCATGCTGTTGCCACAGTAGGGCAATTCCTGCCATGCCCATGTCTCAAATTTCCCAGTCCTCTGTGGCCATGGGAGGTGAAAGAGGAGCTTATAATAGCAGCTAAACAGTACAGGGTACTGGAGGTGCGGAGAGAAATACTAGTGAGCAGAGAGAATATAGCAGCCTTGTGCCTGGCCCACAGCTAGGAAAGAAATGGTGTCCCATACAGTGTATCTATATGGATGGGCATACTCAGATTTGTTCTCCTTGCACTCCCAAGTTGGTGAGGTACAAGCCAGCTCCAGTCCAGGTGACATTAACTGTGCTGCCCTTCATGCAATATTGCCTGAGTGCAGCATTGCAGAAGAGCCATGGCAACTGTCCCTATAGATATACCCCCTGAGCCTACTCTAAAGGTAGTTGGAGACAAGAGTAATCTTTCCTCCAAACGGAGCAGTCTTTGCCTTACCAGACTGTCAGGGTGGGAGGGGGGCAATGGGAATGTTAGTCCATAGGTATGTAAGCTGTTGGAGCTTCCTGTTGTTTTGTGCTTCCTATAGCAGAAACAGTATGCACCTTACTTGTCCAGATTACCTCTACCTTCCTTGTTCCTCCCAGAAATCACCTGCTAAGAAGCTAACTAATGCACTTAGCAAGTCTTTAAGCTGTGCTTCCAGCCGTGAACCTTTGCACCCAATGTTCCCTGACCAGCCTGAAAAACCTCTAAACCTGGCTCATATTGTGTAAGTATCTGTGTGCTGTAGACAAAGTAAGCTTTGTTGTAGGAGTTGCTTACACCAAGTGTAGATACTATAGCTCTGAGCAAAACAGGAGGCAGCTGTGGCTTACCCAGCTCAATACATCACAAGTGCAAATTTGCTGATAGGGGTATTTAGGATGAAAATGTTCTTCTGGTGTGACTTCACTTGAAAAGTCAATGGGATATATACATACAATCAAGTACTGGGACATAGAGTTGGTATGTCCCCATTCTTCTCAAGAGATCTCCGTTTCAGCACTTTGGGATGTATTGACGCTGAACATTAGTTCTCAACTTCAGTGCATCACAGGTATGTCTTGACATGAGACACCAGAGAAAAGTGAAATTGGACCAATTTTGTTGAAACCTGTGTCAGAGTTCTCACTGACTTTGGTGGAGCTGTGGGTTCACCCAGGTCTGAGGAGTTGTATGAGTCTGCATAAAAAGTGAGTCTTGTCAAGTCACTTGAAAAGAGTCTGTTATTTTTACATTTTGATATTTTGAGAAAGCAAGATTATTTTTTTGTATATACCAAAAATAAAAATAAATCACTACTTTATTTCTGCAGGAGTGAAGAAAATCAAAGCAGAGAGACAATGTATTTGTGCCGGCTGGGGAAATTATTACTTTGGATTTTTTTTTTTTTTCCAAAGCATGCCCGCCATCTACAGTGGCAGTTGCTCAGATTTTCTTATTTATCAGTTTGATTTGCCTTTACTTACTGGGTCATTAAAAAAAAAAAAAAGGAGAGAAGAAAACACTATTAAGTTTTCCATAGAATTCAGGAAAATCAAGACATTGGTTGGAAGAAAGGTACAAAGAAATTAACTTGGAAAACTTGTTCTAAAAATACTGTCTTTAAAGGATTTCTCTTATTCTGGTATATTTCTCAAGAAAATATCTTTCTTAACCATCTTCCTGGGGTCCTGACTGAAGCATTTCAGGCAGCAGCTATTATAGTTGTATTTGCATACTGATATATATGTTACTGGCACCTGGAATTATTCCAGTCTGTAATTATTATACATATTTACTTTTGTCTGGACTGAATATTTGTATGTGGCATCTTTAAGGGCAAGTGCACACCAGCCACTGTGGGCTGTGCAACACCTGGAAAGTTCACCTAAGCTGCCTGACATTTTAAGGATAAATCATGATGATGGACCTCCTCATGTGGTTATAGCAGAACTTTTTCAAGGTGTAAGAGAGTGTTCTGGTTTAAGAGACAAGGTGCTGCCTCTGACATATACATAGTGCCAAATCCCTCTTATGCTCTAATGTCAGTTAAAATCCTTGCACCTCTTTATGGAGGAGTAATGAGAGGATGTTGTTCTTTGGAAGAAATGATCCAGAGTTGGATCTGCTGAGCTACTGCACTGCTGTGCGTGGTGTAAAAACCTGGCTCCACTGGCAAGTCAGTGATAATTTCACAGGGCAGATTTTGGCTGTCCTTAAGGGAAATGGGAAGAGGCAGGGAGCTTGAAACTGAAAGAGAAGCCTCTGTTCCCTGTTGGCTGGAAGCCCTGGAAGGGCTGGGGTTATGTGAGATAACGGGTGGCAAAAACTGGGCTACTGTGAATTGATTAAATGCATTTAGGCAAGGCAAGGGGAAGGTACCATAATTGAGTAGGAACCGATCCAAATCTCTGCTGTGAAATTAACACCTTACCTTATTCCTAACTATATGGACGTAATTTAGAGTGATTGGATGTGAGAACAAACCACCATCTATTTTGTTTTATGACAGAGTTTCTCTTTATTCATAGATTGATGGTAATATAACTTGGCAATATATATTGGCTATAATGATGCATGAGTGAAAAACCTGTAAGTTGTGGAGGTAGCATGGTCTACGGCATAATTCACACAAATTAACTGAGGGGAGAGATATGCTACAGAACCTCATTGAGAATATCTTCTCGCTGATGTGATTTTTATTTTTAAACATAATGGAAGTTGAGAGAAACAGCTCTGGGCAGGAATCCGGGCAAAAAAAGGTTTTATATGTGCATTAAATGGAAGAATTTTGGCAACAAAACAGTATCCTTTTCTTAGCTTCTAGCTTAAATGGGGACAAGTGCTCCCATACAGACTTTTCTTTTGATCGTTCTTCCACTTTAGGGTGGCACCACACAGAAAGACTGCATGGTTTGTTCTTTTTTTGCTGGTGCCCCACAGAATTTTCAATTAAGCAAGAAACACATCTAAGGGCTCGTCTAGAGAAGTAATTGTAGTTATCAAGGTGTCATAACCCTGATGGTAGAAAATCCCCCCACTGATGGAGGGGTCATTTTTTCTTTCTGTCCATGAGATTAGCAACAAAAAAAGAAACTCCAGACTGCAGAGATGACAGACTAACTGTCATGGCCAGTGGATCATGAAGGTATTTTTCTGCACTGACCTGACTTCTTAAGTCTGTGAGAGCATTATTTTTGACATCAGTGTGAACAGGTTAGACCAGCCTAGAGCCTGGAGCACTTTGGAAAATTCCTCTTATTTAATTTGGTTTATTACTGTGGATATGTGTTGTGCCATAGCATACTTTTATTACATAGCATGTTTCAATAGCATTAAGTGTTTTCCATCTCCTTGAGGCAAGTTAATTATCATCAGCTCAGTTTTATTAGAAAGCTTAATCACTCACTTCTACAAGTTTAAAAATAATAATTTATAGTCCGGTAGCTGAGTTTTCCTTTACCATGAAGTCTCCTATTCTTGTCTTACCACATCACACAACTGCATGTGTTTGAACATCCATTTAATATTCAAACCTAACCTGAGGAATGTGACAGTGGGCATCAGCCTTTAAAAGACTTGCCTTGGGAAAACCCAAATTAGTTTAATATATTTTTCTTCATATAAGAATTTACAAACTAAGGCTAATCACAAAATCTTAGCAAAGCCTTGGAGTTTCTAGACATTTGTACATAAAAGAAACTCTGCATATGTAAACAGATTAATGACCTTTTATGTATAGAGGCTCTCATGCTTTTGCAGAATCAGGGTCATAAGAATGGAGTATGTCCAATGTACTAAATAGACCATAAACATATTAAACTGGCAATTTAATTAATGATCTCTTTTCCATTTTATTCTGGCTGCAAAAGAGATACTTGGTGAGTATTTTTCTTCTTTAGTACACTTATTGGAGAAAAAGCTTGGAAAAAAATGCAATAATCTCAATACTACCAGTCCTTAACTTTTATCAGAGTCCAGGGTCAAATATATAGTTATCCTTGAATAGAGACATTGAAAGGGAAGGGCTCTTTTGGAGGTTAGAAACTTTCTGACCCACTCCTATTTTGAGTTAAAGCTTAGAGAAGGCATTAACCTGAATTGTGTTTGTGGTGATCTGCTGAAGTCTATGGGTGCCCCCTGCCCTCTCCTACTCAGTCAGCAGAGGTGCACTGGGTGCAAGGCAAAGCAGAGTCCAAGCTCTGCCAAGGGAACACTCCTCCTGCCTCCCTCTCTGGGGCAGTGTTGAGAATCAGCCTCTTCTCCCTTCTCCTGTGCTATTTAGGACTCCACAGCCACTCTGCAGAGTTGGATCCATCTTTCAGAAACACCACCTTATGCCCAATTAGTTTTTGAATGTGTTCACTGTTCAGTAACTGAATTGGGAAGAGGGAAAATGTAGTAGTCGCATGCAGTTGGTGTGAACTATTTCATCTTCATCAATTACCAGTTTACAACTCCCAGGCAACAAAATACCAGTTGTTTTCCCATTAAATAAAATTAAGTTCTTATTAATCTCCCAAAGTATATTTCCAAAGCTCTATATTTCAAGATTCATCCTATAGTCAGCTTTCCAGGGGATTGTCTCTGATCATGGCCTCAACTGAGCTGTTCCTAGCTCTGATGGAGTCCATAAAAAATAATATTAAACACTTCTCCATAAGTACATGCAGGACAAAGGACTGCTTCTGAAATTTGTGACTGACCAGAGCTGGAGGTTTTCATGTGGTTCTGCAGATGCAGTGTTAGGCTAAAACTATACTTTCATATAAATAAATAACGTGGCAAATCCTAACTCTTTCTAGTCACAGTTTTAAATGTTTTAAAATCAATGTGGCACTATTATGCTGCGAAATTCATTTAGATTCATCAAACGCCATATTTATGCTTGTTTTCTAACAAGTTACAAAACAAGATATATAGTAATAATTCACTTCTGTGCAGTACTGGCTTTCTTACAAATGCTTTGGATGATTGGTTGTCTTGCACAATTGGAGCTCAGTGAATATTTTGCAGATAGCTACTATATTTTGATTTGCATATCTGCAGAATTCAGAAAGCAAGATAGATCTTTCATAGAGCTTAAAGGAGATATTAGCCAACTTGAAATCTAGGCAATTTGAAGTGTGAATTACATGTGGCTTCAGGTTCTGCTCATATCTGATTGAAAACCCCGTGATTTTAATAACATGTTTTGTAGTTGCTCCAGAGCATCTAGATCTTTTGCCCACTGTTGCATAAGAAGTCTATTTGGAAGGGGAACTTTCTCCATAATGGATAGAGAAGGAAAAATTATGCACTGATTATTTTTTAAGAGTAGACAATAAAAGAAAGCAGAGGAAATATTCCTTCTCATTTCATTTTATAAAATCGGGAAATAAAGAATGTAATAATAAAACCATCATTATTAATGGGTCCTCCTAAACTAGATACTTATTCTACACTTTGGCTTGGGGATTTGATATACCAGCTAAAAAGCTTTGCTGTTGGATCAGTTTAGTTCTACATGTATTTTATGGGACGCTGAGGGCTGTGGGTATACTGTGGCCACTAGGTGGATGTGGTAGCATGGAGCTTAGCACGAGGGATAGCCTCATGAAAAGATGTGTCATTTATTGGCACTTACCCCCTGCAGACCCCTGCTGCCACAGTAAACTGTGCTCATCCTGGCTGGTGGAAAGCAGTGACTGCACCCTGTCTTTGGAAAGGAAGAGTGGCGTAGTGGTTATTCTGGCAAGGCAGGGGGAAAAAAGTCAAGCAAGTTGGTTAAAACTCACCTCAGAACACACGAAAGCATAAAAGTATTATTTCCCTCCAGGCCTAAGTATCAGTGTGTTTTTATTAACTTCTGCTTAAAAACATAGCATCTATAATTTGGAACTATTGCTACATAAAGCAGAAGATGCCAGTAGTAACGTTACTTTAAACAAGAAGCTCATTCTGTTCTCCGTTAATACTGTTGCTGATGGAGGGGTTTTTGGTGCAAAATTAATGCAACTGGATATTTTGCCTCCTAGGCCTCCCCGACCTGTAACCAGCATGAACGACACACTCTTCTCCCATTCTGTTCCCTCGGGAAGTCCCTTTGCAAACAGAAGGTGAGTTCTTATCCTTATTTATGTTAAACAATTACATTATAGTAGTGGAGGTTTTGATTTTCAACTCCCTCACAGGAAAAACAAAGCAAAACCAAAAAACCACTCACAAAGTAAAATTAAGAGACATGAGCAGAGAAATGCCCTGGTTATTTTGGACTGATACCCAGACATTTGGATGGAGAGCTGGAGTTAAGGCATCCCAAGCTCCTCACCACAGATCACCCTCATTTGAACCATTATGATGCACTAAAATGTGCTCACATGCAATCTAGACATGCCACAAGGACTGAAAACAGGCTATTGGTAAGAAGCCATTTTTTAGCAACACTATGGGAATAGGAACTGGGACATACCATTGCCTACTGGGAATGCCTGCATTATACTGCAAGATAGGGTATGAACAAGGAGAAAATGTGTTCGTACTTACAAGTTATAGGAAGGCATCCTTACTCCTGTTAAACCATTCTGATATTCATTAGAGGCTACAAGAGAGAAGGAGTAGTCTTGGAATATGGAGACCGACCCTTCAGTAAACAAATCAGGGAAGAATCATCAGAAACATTAATCCCAAAGAGTAGGTGATTGCAGCTGTCTGTGTACATTTTGACTCAGTATTTTGGCTCATACAGCCAAAATATGTATGTAGCGTTTGCTAGCCGTCTGACCCGTATGTAAGCCTACCAATGCACAAGGTGGCAGAAAAATAACTTCCTGCTGCATTGGGGAAGATGAGCAATATGTCTTCTTATTATTTGCATTTTATTGCTCGATTCCTGCTGTATGTGTCAGTGCTTCAGCATTCCCAAATGACTAAACACGATCCCTGGGTATGTATAGCTGCATATTGTAACATCAAGACCAAAACCAAACCTGCAGTGTACACTGCAAAGTCAAAGTAAAGATGGTTTACTACTACTTCAATTTACGAATTTTTTTGCCAGGACCTGTAAACTCTCAACGTTAACTTAATGCAAGTAGCTGCTGGGTGTGACTGAGATCCTTTTTGAAAGCCAGTCCCAAAGCAGCCTCCAAGGCCAGGATCTACTGCCTGTACAGTGAGACTGCAAATGCAAAGTAATTTCTGTTGTTATCATATATGGGGTTTTATGTGCAAGGCAGGATAATGTATTTGTGGCCTTTCCAGGAGAGGTCATTAAGAGCAGTGCTCTTTAAGAGTGTAGTCATTGCTTCTGTTTATCCCCAAGAAGTCCCTGTGCTTGTTCAACCTGCAGTTACCTGCAGTAATAATCATAGCACTTTCTACTGTGCTGCTTGTTTTTCTCTACATGTAAAAAATATCTGATTATTTTACTTTTGTCTTCAGTAAATGACTGTCTTTTACTATCAGGATTAGATGTACATGCTTCCTGAACTATTAGAATTCCTTTTCTGCTAGGAAAAACTTCTTGATGAGAATCCCCTGAAGGCAGGAGACAATAACCAACCCCCTCAATCATAGGTACCCAGACCTCCCATATAGGTGGATAGTGTGATATCCTTATACAGTTAAGAGTTTCCATGGTGCAACAGTCATTCTAACTCTTTTAGAGTTAGCTGTACCCTGATATGTAAAATAATTACATTGCTTGTATATTAAAAGTTTTGTAACTTTTGTTTCATTGACCTAGCAGGATTTTAGGTGTTTGACAGCTTATGCTCAGCATTTTTATTTTCACCTCTTATAAATTTAATTTGCATGTTTTTATTGGAAATAAAAAGCACCCTACAAATAGTCAAGTCAATATTCTTTCTAAATAAATGGCATTTATTGTTACAAACCCACTCTGAACACCCTGCTCTCTGTGTATACTTATTGAGTTATTAACAAGGTTTCATTGTTTGAATCATTCAGGTTACTTGGGGGTATAAATGCAGCCAGTCCTGTGGCTGATGAGCATTCTCTTATAAAGCTGTATGTAAATCAGCTTCACAAGAATTCACGGTCAGTATGAGAGCCCTAACCTACTAATCGCAGTAGTTCTGTAGCTCATGCACTAAATCATTAGTGATTCTGCTAAACTACTCAAGATATTCTTTAAGGATGGGCTAGAGGGTTTCTGTGGCTCTAATTAGTCTTTTGAATAGACTTCCTGCTGGCTGTGGGCTTTGCCAACTTCTCTTGCTTCTGCGCAGCACAAGTCTTTCGTTTTACCCTTTCACGTAGGATTAATATTAATGTGTCTAGTGGAAGCTGGAAACATTGCTTTTGAAAACTGAAAAAACTACACCTTTATGGTTTTATCATCAGTGTATGACTTGCCTGTTGTATTCTTGACCAAGGAATGAAAGAGGCTTGCACAAAAGCCTGAAAATGACTCCAGGTCTCACAGCCAGCCTCCTCTTCCAGAGCTTTCACTGCTGGTGGTTACTATTCTGCAGTTACTGCTGCTTGCCAATAACCCTCCCCAGATCGCTTTGCTTTGCTTTTCAAAATGACTACAGGAAAGGCAGATCTAAGTCTTGCTGAAGCTAATGAAAACTTCCCATTTACGTAGTGAGCATTGGATTTGGACCCATGCCTCTGGTTGCTGCACCCTTTTTCCAGTATTCCCTGGCATCTCAGTGACCTAAAGGAAGATCCTATTTCATTCTGCATAAAAGAAATATGCAGTTGGATAAGAACAGTTTCCCTATGTTTTTTTACTGTGGAGTGCAATATACTTTCTTTTTTTTCTTTTTTTTTTTATTCCATGAGCATTAGCTATAATTCAGTAAGAATTACAGAGACCAAGGTACTTTTCTGCTAAATGCCAAGGTCTTCAATCTGTTTTAGATTAATAACAGTATCTTCATTCATTCTTTTAGGTTTTACTGTTATTATTGCCGTGGGAAAATCAGGCCTCGTTAGTAGAAGCTCATCCTCTTGTACATCAGAAAAACAAACTTTGACAGCTCTGTTTGCAGTTGTGCTTATTTTATATTAAATACTCCATCATTCATATTATAATAAAAATTATACAAACTCAGGGTAAAATTTCTAGCTGGATGTAATTAATGTTAAAAGCTCTGCTGGCTGTGTTTTCACTGCAGATAACTTATGGTTACTTTAATTTGCATTGCAATCTAGTCCAGAGGTTTCAGATAGCTTTAAATAAAGTTTTTATGTAATTAGAATGTTTATTCAAAGGAGAATTGGCAGTGAATGTCATTCATACCATTCCCATGGTATTTATTTCATTTATTTTATTTATATCATGTTCATATAAGAACATAGCCATTCCCACCAGTTTCTCCCTGTAGTAGCGAATGCTAAATTCAGCACACCAGTTCATTCTGCTGCTGAAAATGGATAGCATCCCATAAGTTCAGTACAATATCATCTTAATTTCTGGATTCATGGGATAAAAATTATTCCAAAGTTCAAAGGAAGTTGGATTCAGGCTTTCCATAGAATGCTTCTTAGTTCCTTCAAGACTCTTTAGAATCAAAGTCCACTTAAAATTTCTGTGCTTATTTGCTTAGTTTGAGCCACCAAGTCTGTAAGAGAGCTTTAATGAGGAGGTTGGCTTAACAATTACAAGCACTTTCTTCTAAATATATACAGTGTGGAAGTTGGTATCAACAGTATGCTCTCTACAGCTCAAGAACAACTTTAGAGCACTTATGTTAGAAAAGAAGAAACAAAAAAAGTCTGTAATCTTCTCACAAATACCAAATCATGGTCATTTGCTGTGATGACAGCTAACATGATTAAAACCACAAGGCCTGTACTTGTTTTACTGTAGCTAATAATGAGGGGGTTTTCTGTCATTTATTTTTCTGATTTCCGATTGCCTAGAGGGCAGCAGAACAAGGGAATGTTGCTGCCAAGTTAGGTAATGCCCTTGCCAACCCAAGGAATTGGATATATTATGTCAAAAACAAGCAAACTGAGCATTATAGAAACTTTTGTCCAGTCAAGAGGAATAACCCTATATTCTGAATTAATGCTTTCTTCCTTATTTGAATACTTTTGTTCCCCAGCTGCAGTCTGTCAGTGCCGCCCTAAAGTGTATAGCTGCCATAGTAATGGGTACAATCTCCTGCTCTTTCTTAATAAATGTTTTCTTTAAGCCATTGAATTATTGATCTTAGGTGGGATAAGATGAAACAGAATGATTTTTCTTGCATTTTTCTCAGGTCCCCCTTCACAGACAATACATTTAGTTCTTCCAAAGGAGTAATAAACTGAAATAAATGGCGTGATGCAGCACATTCTGCTGAACTTGAAATGACTTGGCAATTCTGTGGTAGATAGAAAGAATGCACTCTGATACCCCCAGCCAAGGAGAAACTGAGTCTTATTTAATGCTGAATCAGAATGGCTAGTGCCTTTTTGGAACTCACTGTAAAAACTAAAGGAAATGGAAATAGCAAGAGATTAAGGCTAAATTTCTGGACAACAACTGTCTCTGGAGCAAAACATACTGATTGCTGCTGTTCTCCATGTTTCTATCTCTGAGGAGTGTGGTAGACATGAACTGCATGTTGCCTTTGCATGTTGTTTCTAGAAAAAGATGAGGATCCTTATTTCATAGGCAATATTTTACCTGGCTAAAGGAAAGGTTTATGTTTCATTGTTTAGTAGACTAATGAGGCTTTAACATTTACACCAGTATTATTAGCCCTACATCTTTACAGACATGTTCTCGTTGTTGGAAGTTTTGTCTCTTAATTTTGATGGAGAAACATTTTTTGGCATCTTACAAAATGTTCCATTTTAGCAGGAATGTATCTTTAAAATATATGTTCCAATTGGAAACTCGCTGTGGCCAAAACAATCTGTGAATCTCAGAATTGTGTTTTGAGAATATGTGGAGGATGTAGGAAGATGTGGAAAAACAAGAGGGACAAATGTCAGCTCTTCCCTGTGAAGGAGGGTTGAAGGTGGAAACAGGGAAAAAGTTTAAGGGATCGTACAAGAGACAGCCTAACCCTGGTAGCCAAAGATCCTGAAATTACGAAAGTATTGGTAAGCACCCAGAGGATAATAAACCAATGAGAAACAACCACCATGGATCTGTCAAGAACAAATTTATGTCAAACCTAACTAATTTATTTCATTGACAGAATAACTGGTTCAGTGGGTAAAAAAGAAGCAGCAGCAATGATACAGGTTGACCTTAAGAGAACTTTTGACATAGTTCCAGATGACACTGAAGTACCCAAAGAAAATATGGACATGGGGAATTTAGTATAAGACCAACACTGAAAATCAGTAATCATATTTTCAGAAGTTTGCTGTCATTCTAGGAGGACATACCAGCTGGGATTCTTGAAGGCTATCCTAAATCAGACATTATGAACTATTTCATGTAGTGACCTAATGGGAGTATTAGAGTGAGTGTATGCAATTTGTAGATGGTACAAAGGTTGAAATAGTTCTGGGAAGAAGCGCTTGGAGAGCAGTTTCTAAATGAAAAAAATGAGCTCAGTTGCAATGGTAGTAATTGATTTCCAAATGATCTAAAATCAATTAGAGGAAATTCAGTAATTATAAATGACAAGTGCTGTAGCAAGGAAGCAAATAATCAAATAAAAGATGGACCATAATTGGATGGACAGAAGTATTTTAACAGAGTTAAAATACAGTTGCAGTGCAGTTGCAGTGAACCACAAACTAATTGAAGTCAACAATACGATTGTTAGATTGCATTTGACCCTGGAACATCATGTGAAAAGCCATTAAAACTCATTCCCTGGAGGAGGAGACATCTGCCTGGAGGTTTGCACCCAGTGTAGGGCAAAAGCACGGGATAGATATGCTAACCAGCATGACAGAAGAGACGCCCAAACATCAGGAAAGCATAGAAAACATAACTCGCGAGAAGAGGTTGGAAGATACAAGTTTGCTTAATCAGCTAAGAAAGAAAAGGACATTGATGGGCGTAGTATCACTTGCTCAATGAGTAATGTTTGCTTGCCTGTCTCTCCACCCTAACTTCTGTTTCTGGAGCATAGGAGAGAAGAACTTGAAGGGGGCATCACACCACACTGTTAGAGAGCAAGACACAAAATCTGCTCTAGAGTCTTTGGTCTCCCATTGTGGCAACATATTTATCTTTATTTTAACAACCAAAAGGTGCATTTTTGGCTGAAATGGCACACCTCTTGAATGCATTTTCCTTCTCTAACTGGGAAGAAAACGTGTGGAAAACATATGCCTCTAATGGCATGGAGCATGTTTATCTGCATGAATATTGCCTCAGTGGAAGCACAACACACATAAGTAGCATGCTGATGGGCAGAGAAATGTGAAGCAGGCATTTTTCCTTGCTGTGCAGTACAGTGTTTCATTCAGGTATCTTCCAGATTTATTATAAATCAATAGGCTTGAGTTCTTAGGACACACTTTGGTCCCATCCTTTTCAAACCCCCACTGCCAACCTTGCCTTCCTAAAAGGAAGGTAATGGCATACATCTCGTCTCACTGAATTCATTCTTTGTCCTAATATTAAAGGTTTTGGTCTTCAGAACATTAGAGACACATCTGCTCAGATTTATCATGCATCACATTTGTGCAACATCATCTCTGGTCTGTAAACACACAGACCCACACCTCTGGATGCACAGGTGCACGAGCATGCTCATGCACCCATGAGGTGCCAAACCAAAAAATAAAGGTGAATAATTTTTAAAAAGAAGAAAGTAAAATATAATTTTGTTATGCTTTGTTGCTTTTCAAACAAAAAATGCTGCAGCATGAAAGACAAATTAACATTTCAATCTCTCCCATTTTTAGCCAGTTTTATCTTATTAATGTGGATATTTAAGCATTGGGAAAGATGCAGTTACTGCAATTCATTAAATATTATAATTAGGAAAAAATATGTGTTTGATAAACTATATATTATTTTAAATCAACAGAAGAAGAGTACTTCTGAAAATTAAACTGCTGTATCCCATCACTGCATCTAGATAAATGCATTTCCATATATTATTGAAACTATCTTATGGTAAATGTGGAGAAAAGCAATTCAACTGTTATGGTGAAGCTTTCCCAGCTTGAAAGTGGTATTCGAGATGGTGTTTTTCTCGAACTCCCTCTGGAAACTACACAAGTCTTCATTTCTCCATTTGTGAGAGAAGGACATTTTGTTTCTGTTTTTGGTAGTTAGAGCTTTATAGCTTTTGGAGAGCAGGAGGGAAAATTTGTAATTTGTGATTTTGCATTTCCTAAAGTTTTCTAAAATTCTTTAAAGCTTCTATTGATTTTTTTTATTCAGTCCAGGGCACTTGAATGAGTTTCTCCAAACTCTGTTCTGTAATGAATTTCAGACATCACTGTTGACCCTCTTCTTAGTTTTCCTGTCTTATTAACTAGCTCTCCTTCCAAGAATACTGAAGTAGAGCAGAGCAAACTGCTGGCTAGGGCTGCTCCAGCTTTCTTGAAAGGCAAAGGGTAAGTTAAAGAGAGAGTATGTTTGTAGCTTGCACTAACAAAGCTAAACCAAAACCTTTTCCCCTATCCCTCCCATTTTTAATGTATTCTATAAACATCTTTCCTGAAAAAATTGTGATAACCAATTAATCCAGTGAGCTAAGTAGAGCATGTTTAAATATGTTTATGTACACCTGGATGTGTGAGGTCTTGATGAGACACTTCCAAGCAAATCTAGCTTGTGAATTCAGTATGTCAATCATGTGTGTAACATATCAATATAATATTTATATGTAATACATAGTATATTAAAATAAATAATGCTGACCTCACAATTTGCTGTAGTTTACAATAAATAGTACTGTACAGCTCCAATCCCTGGCCCAATCTGGCATCTCACTGATTTTTGAGGCTGGCTCTGTAATCAAATGCTACCATCCTATGTCACTAAATACTAAATACATAAATTACAATAGTAACAAAATAATTCATTTCTGCATGTGGTGTGTTGTTTTTTGGGGTTTTTTTCTTCTCTAAAAACACTTAGGTGTTCGTTCCTAGGTTCCCATTTCACAATCTCACTTGCTCCTGCTTTCTCTGTTTATCTCTCCGTCTGTCCGGATCGCACCCTCTCTCCCGCGGCCCTGTTCCAGGTTACAGTACAGCCTCGATGTTGCAGACAGGCTGGCTGATGAACATGTGCTCATCGGGTTGTATGTCAACATGCTACAGAGCAACCCCGCACGGTTAGTGCAGGTTTGGCACCTTTGGGGGACCCAGGAAAGGGATGTTGGTCGGCCAAATGCTCTCTCTGTTCCCTCCTGGCTACGAGCTGAAGCAGCTCTTCATGAGCACTAGCCTAAAGGGAATGCGTATGAACACAGGGTATGTCCTCCCAAAGTTGGTGGATTCTGGCAGTCGCTGCTATTCTCTCTAGTGATGTTAGCAAGGTATTGCTAAGTATTGCAGATAATTGCTTAGTTGAGAATGGCAGTGCAGATTGATTTGGGAACTTGTGCTCTAGGCAGTGCAGGGCTCAGTGGGGGTACAGAAATCTTCACACAGCGATGATTAACAAGTCCATGTTTTCAAGGTATTCATTTTTGAGGTGATACATAATTTGTAGCTTCACCTTCCTTGAAAGTAAAAAATGGTAATAGTACATAAATAAAGAAGATGATGATGATGATACTAATTTGCTTGTTGACCTAGTGAAAGAAGTTCATTTTTATTTTTACATATGTCAGGCATTGTCTTTAAATCTGCCTGATGTCTGCATTATTTGAGTCTTGTATATAACTTTTCCCTTATCGCATTCAGACTGAAGGGTGTCTTGAACATACTTCATTGTTTCTGCTGGAGTGATTATGGAGCACCCTCTACTAAACACACCGGCTATCCTGGCACTTGAGATAGTGGCATTGCAGCGGGCCACACCAGGAAGGGGAAATGCTGGCTCCCTTCTCCAAGTGCAGCAGAATTCTAGACTTTGCAGCCCTGTAGCAGCAAGGTGGTGGGCAGTGTGGTAAATGACCCTAGAAAATGCAGTGCTGAGCAGAAAACTGTACAGTGTTTCTGGCAAAACTATGCTCAGGAGGTTTATTTTGCTCAGTTCAGTTTCCAATACTGCTATGGCAGAATATTTCCCAGGTTAGGTGAAAGTCTTCATTTACTCTAGTTTGTAGAAAGCAACGAGCAACTTCATTTGGGAGAGTGAATGCAATGGTTCTCTGCAGTCTTACAAAATTCACTTCTTTGTGTAGCTCCTGTTGAAAATGGGAGTAATTTGCGTGCCCAGTGGAACAAAGAGACTCTCTCCGTTGTTCTGGATTCGCTTCTCTACTCTGTAGCCCACTGGAATGTGCCAGTGGGGGGAAAAAAGCACTAGTTTTTAGTGAGAAAAATGAAAACCATTTACTCAAAACAAAAGCATTTTGAAGGGGAATTTCATTCCTGAAGAAGCACTTCCAGAAAGCAGGCTTCTGGAGGAGTATTTACACTGTGACTGTGAAAGCAAGCTGTTGGGGGCATGTCTGTAGAGCAGTCCTTGCCCATCTGTGATCGAGGACAGGAGTACACTACCACTCGGTCTAGTTTGATGGGGAGAAGAAAATCTGGCCCTGCCTACCACAAGTGACTTATTCGATATGGTTGTTCAAGAGGTGAGCAAAGAATGGACATGGTTTAGGGTAATTCTTTGTGGTAGGCTGGTTTGTCAGGCATGGCATTTTGGATGCCATGTCTGTGATTTATTTAGCTTCAGTGAGGTCCACCAGTTCCTCACCAGATCTCTTCGTGGGTACCTAGCCTTATATATACCATTTTCATGCTCTAAATTTTATTCTATATATTCTGACCTGTTCCCTCATGGTTTTGAGCCAACCTCAACAAGTCATAGTAAATTTGTACCCAAATTTGTACATACAAATCATCTGCCATAACATCTAACGTGTTGGTTTTGAGGAATGAATGGAGAGCGACTGATAATGGACTTAATAATTTAAAAACCTGATGTAAAGCATAGTACATAACATCTGATTACTGACATTAAATCACTGCAGTCATATCATCCTGACGAGAAACAATCTCAGTTATTTGTGTAATTAGATTTTGACAGAAACATAACTGAGAGGGACAGCAGTCTTGGTCACGTGTCAGACCAGGCTGCATTGCCATTTACTGCTTTGTTAGTAGAGACTTCTGGTAGAGAAATGGAATGGTTACATTTTGGTAAAGACAAGAACAAAGTCTTACCATTCTGAAGTTCCTGTGTGAAGCCAGTTTCCAGGACAGGTAGGTGAGGCCTCTGCAGGAGGCTCAGCTGCTGCATCTCTCATAGTCTCAAGGCAAAGCTGAACTCCTCCTGTCCATGCCCCGAAATAGCTAGATGCAGTTTGCTCAAAACCCACACAGTTGTGTTAGGATGGTGCTGAGTTCAACTTATTTCACCCTGCATCTTAAGAAGATTTGGTAACCTGAGTAAAGCCTGTACTTAAACATAATTAGGTAGCTTATGATGTAGGGGAGGCTGCAGCTGGCCAACTCTGCTGTTGAATCTGTCTGCAAAATACCACTTGTACATACCCAGACGTGCCATTATATGTTTTCAAGTGCTTCTAGCAGCCAAAGATGAAAAGAGGAATGATTGTAGCTGGACCTTTGTCTGCAAGAAAAACCTACAGAAATACTTTGTGAGCATAATACATAAAATTACCCTAAGAACTATATATTAACACTTTAAAACAAAATGAGCTTTGGATTTTTTAAGTACTGAGTCAAGCTGATTTGTAGTAGCTAATGATCAGTGCAACATAGCCCAGTATAACTTTTTTTCCATTTTAAGTGCAGCTGGTATTTATATTTTAATTTTTGTGGGGGGTTAAAATTAAGTTAATTAATTTTAACTTATTTTTGTTTTTCATCTGCAGTTATTTGATACTGTAATTAAAAGTACAAGTTTTCCTTTCCATCCACCACAGGTTAATAAGCTACTTAAGGGTTTTTTAGAAGCCAGTACTCCAGAGCAAATTAAGAAACAAGAAAAATAATTAATTCATTATTTATAGTAACTATGGGTAGAAAACGTATGCCTTAGCCAGATGTTTTAAATAGTTTAATTATAAAGTCTGGTTTAATATGTAAAACCAATGTTCAATATTTACTTTAGTTCATCTTTAGTGTCTGATTCTAAAAAAGAACTTTTAACTGCAGATAGTTTTCACTTTTGAAAGTTAGAGACTTTGCCTAGTTTTGAATATTAATTCCACATATTTCAGTCTTTTTCTTTTCAAGTGCAGAAGAAAATAAGATCAAATATATTAAAAGTAGGAGGTTATTTTGGTTCCACAGAAAGCTATTTTCTGGGTTTTTTATGTTATACTCTGTAGTTCTGTGGTGGGTCCTATTTCTGTACTATAAAAGTGGCATGCTACTCCACGGAAATTTTTAAAATGTTTATTAAGGGATCATGCACAACAACTAACTAGCTAGGAAGGTCCATCTAATCTTCCCTTGAAAGAGGAAAAACATTCAGAGACCAACTGCTGCAGAGGAAATCTATAGACATTTGGCTTCCTTGAATTGAGTTAGTTTTTATGATTATACCCCCATAGCTGAATGTTATTAACATTTTGGTGGTAAAGTCTTGGTGATTCTAAAGTAAATAGCAAATTAACAATAGCAGAGAGCTCGGATGATGTGTCTCAGTTTAAAGTGCCTTAAAACCAGGCCAAATTTTAAAGTGTCATGGTTAAACACTCTTCAGAATACATTTGGTGTGTTTTTATTGTTTTTACAACCCTGGGGCTTAGAAACCTACCCTTTAATTTGTCTGTATTTTCTGTTAATTTATTTAAGCGAAGGTTTGTAGAATAAGAGCACACCATGAAGACCACATTGATATCTCTATTGCAAAAATTTCACAAGAAACTTTCCTAACCAGTGGTGGCATAGTTTTAGGACCAGCAGGGAACATCCATATCAGCTATTGCAGGGTGCCTACTGCAGAACAGGCTGGTTTGACACATCTAAAGCCTGAGAAATAGCAAAGATCCTCCAGTGTCACTCCTTTACTCACAGGCTATCCTATTTTTCCTCCTTTGAGATCCCTTTTTTATGGAACTCCCTTAGACCACAGAAGTCCTATATACAGGTGATAATATTGGATATTCATCCTACATCTGTGTGGCGATAGATGCCAGACCAATTATTACTAATAATTATAAGGTCTTTAAAGAAATGGTCACTAATGGAGAAGCAGTGTTCAAGTGTTGTTTAACGGTTTTAGAAAAGAAGAAGCAGTACGATATTTGTATGCAAAATGTTTAGTTTCTTTCAAAGGGCTGCCTGAATCATTCTCTTGAGCATCCCAAATTCTGCACACATATTCATAATATTTAAAGCTTGTGTGTATGATTGTCATACTGTTTCTCTGTATGATTGTCCATGAAGTTGCTGAAGTAAACTAGAAGTGAATTATGGCAAATTAGACTCTGAGACATTAGAGGCTAATGCTGCTGTGCATACCTCTGTGCTTGATGGTCACAAAGAATAGGTTTATTCTGGAACTAAATTTATCTCTGGCATTGAAATTTAATTTATAGAGCTTTGGAGCTAGTGATTTGTGGACCAAATTTGATGCACTGCTACATCTATTTTATGTCATCCACCTATGCAGAAATACATACCAAGTACGTTAAATACAAGTAAGAATCAAAAAGCTGCAGTGGCTCGGTTCATTCAGTAAAACCACTGTCTTGGGGTTTAGCTCACTTCTCAGAACTATGGTGCAGATTGTGTTATGCCAACAAGTGGAACCATATTCCATTTTTCCAGGATGGATAATATGGCTGCACATAGCTGTTAAAAGGAGAACTGATGCTGAACGCTTGCTGGTTTTACAACCATCTGTTAGGATGCAGTGTTTTAGTAATTACGGTAAAATTAAAAATTTAATGAACTGTCATGAAAGTAACCTGTATTACCTGGTTTACATAATTTTATGTGTCTGCAAGACTTACTTGCCCCTTTCTTTCTCTGCATGACATATCAGTACAGTAAGCATGAGTATGTAAGAAGCAGAACCATATAAATTTAGAAAAATACCTTTATCTTTCAGAATGTAAATAGGTTATCCCACAAGAATCTGAGTAATCATAAAATTAAGCTATATATGTAAGAAAAAAACGAAAACCAAAAAGTCAGTGGCCGTCTACCTCCAGAAGTCTTGCATGCAGTCTGCAGCACAAGCTTTGCTTACACAGAACCTCGCTGTGTCTCACTTTTCAGAGCTTTACTGTTTTTCTAAACTTCATGTTTGTGGTCTCACAGGTTATTGTCAGAATGAGAAAAAGATGATGTTTGTCTCTTTTCTTTTACATCAATAGCCATAACTAATCCACATGACACCCAACTTTAGTTTAATGATCAGTGAGTATCAACCACTACCCATTTTTCAAACATAACATTTAAATCCCAGTGGATTTAATCGAGCTAACCAAAAGATGTCCATTGTAGTTCTCTGAGGTACACAGGGACATGAACTCACTGAGAAATTTTGGAGAAGTATTTCCTTTTCCTTTTAAAGATGTCAGTTCTTCAAAAGCAGAGCTTTTTGCACAAGTTTCCTCTGGAAGGCTTTTCAAGTTCAAGATACAATTTCTGGCAAAAATCAGAATAAAATCACATGCCCAGAGCAATTCTTGTTTTGCACACTTTTTTGAAATATGAAGCTCATTTTGCCAGCAACCAATTGCATACCCTGAAAGAGCCCATGGGCAGGGAGGTGTGTACCGGTCTCTCTTCAGCCATAAAAGCATCATACAGTTGCAAAGGGATAAGAAGAGGTCAGACTTACCTCTGTCTGGGACAGTCTGCAGACTGTCTTGTACTCTGCACAGCAAAGTGTTTTTCTCTCCTCTTCTTAGGGCTTCATTTCTTTTCTCTTGTATATGCTAAAATTACTGAAATATAGGATTCTAAAGCCCAGGATTATCCAGGGTCAACTCGGTCCTCTTCAGATTTCTGGTTTTATCAGTTCAGTAGTTTTGATGGTTCTCTGCAAACTTATAAATGTTTAGAAATAGTGAAGGTTCTCACTATATTACCTTTTTCCTGCTCATCTGACTAAATAATAGCCTCCATTTAAAATAAGGACAGCTGGAAAGGTATTTACCTAAAAGAAATATTTGCACTTTATATTTTTAGGGGGAGAAAAGAATAATAAGGTGCGGTATTTTAAAGGAATTCAGTATATTTGCTCTTTAGTTTCTTACACTTTCTGAACAGGAGATTTGATTGGCAATCTCCAGTCTCCATTGGAGATTCTGCATATGTGACCGAAGTCCATCATAGTTGGTGCTAGTAGACTCCTGAATCCTGCCAGCAGGAGTTGTCTCCAAGTTGGAGTGAGTCTGGGATCAGTGGTGATATATAAGTTGCAATATTTTAAAGGAATTCAGATATTTGCTGTTTAGTTTTTACACTTTTTGTTCAGGCATGCAATTCTCTGAAGTCTTACTCCCAAATATCAAGAAACCAGTAAGAGAAAAAGACTGATTATAAATTCCTGGATCAGTGGTTGCAAACAGTAGTCCATGAGGCCTTGATAAGTGCCCTGCAAAACTGTCCTAAATACTGTTTTCTGTTGCAAATCTGACAAAATTTCTAAAATTTTTCTCGACAAACACTGAGGTTCCCACTAATCCACTGTCCAAAAAGTAATCTCTCTTCCAGGAGATATGACAAACCTGACATATAAAATAAATGCTGACTGGTGGTCCTAACCACCTCTCACCTGTTTTTGGGCGGAGCAGTCTGCAAGTTGCATCTTGCACAACCTTGGCTGGGGTTTGCAGACTGCTGCTGTTACCCCCTAAGGGAAGGTGCCGTGTGGCCCCTAAAGCTGATCCTCCCAGGCAAGTTACCCTTCCCCTTCTCCCCTTTGCTCAATTAATGTCTGCCGTTGTTTGATTTGGTGACATTTTGCTTCCAAGTTCTGTAACGAGGGGCTGTGAGATGATGGTGCAAGAGAGCAATGGTCATTTTTACCATGTATAAACATCTCTTCCCTCCTTTCCCCCCACGCCTGAGCAGCGTGCTTGACAGCACAAGTCGCCTGGATGAAGAACATAAGCTGATCGCCAGGTATGCAGCAAGGCTGGCAGCAGAAACTTCTTCATCAGTAAGTGTTATAATTAAAGGAAGGTACTTTCCTTCTGTCATGTTCTAAGGGCTTAGCAAGATCAGGAAAATTGCATCTGACAGTCTAATGATTAATGGATTATTTTTCCCTATCCTTTTCATCAGAGGCTGTTATGCTTTAGTATAACACTTTTATGCAGTCCATTTAAACCCAAGAATCCACATACTAATGCATATAATCTATATACTAATGAAATGGTATTTAAATAATTACATCAAAAGGAATCTGACATCTTGAACTGAGGAAAGACTAGAAAATACTGTCTGGACCAGTTTGGTTAAAGGTTAATGATTTACTGCAGTAGAAAAATGGGTGGCGAATCCATTTTACTCTCTAGTTCAAATATCACAGCCACTAGGGCCCTAAGTACTAAGGATTTTAAAGAATGTTCTTCAGCAGGATGACTGTAATGACCCCCTGCATTAGCCCTGGCTCCCATTTTCATTTCAGAGCAATGATTATTCTGTTCTATGTATCCCAAGATAGAAGGTGATGACAGGCTAAAACCTCACTAACTGCATTTAGGAACAAGAGACAATGAAGCAGAAACCTAATCAAAGTATATAAAATCTTAAATGGTACATATAAGGTCAGCCTAGTTACTTTTTTTCCATCTCAGCCCATTTAGTAGAACAAGGGACCATAAATGATGGTTAAGTGAAAAGCAGCTGGTACAGAGTGCCCAGAAACATTTTCGCACAGAGATTTACACTGCAGGGTCAACTGAAAGGGTGAAATTGGGCACCACAGTTTGTGTAAAGACACTGATTAACACTCACACCAAGAGAAGATGAATATGCTGCCCCGTGCAGCTATCTGTCATGGAAGATTTCAGACTATCTGCAGCTACGTGGGAAGAGAAGGGTGCTCCTACTCTGCCAGCCAAGCCCAAATCAGTCCTTTTCAGAGGTGTTTCAAGTTTAAGGCAATCTGTAGGTGATGGTGCTGTTTCTGAAGGACAGGGAACAAGATTTCTCATTAATAATGTCTCTAGGTAAAAACTGGTTGAAATCAGTGGTGTACAACATGTATCCTCAATATGGGGGAAAACTTAGGAAACAATATAAATAGAGCTGGTTTGAAGGAAAATACTGAAGTTCTCCTTGCCATTCATCTCTGCTCTTTGAACAAAAGAGATAGAAGGAAAAGGAAAGGTTTCTGTATACAGAAATTTTTTCCGAGCACAAGACTGGCACTACAATAGGAGCACAGTGGAAATTTTTAAAGCTTTACTGATGGTCATTCTGGTTTTTAAGGAACAAAATCTATTAATAGCAGTGGGCATTCAGGAAAGATCCTGATTCCTCCTGTACCAGCCATGACATCCACCAGCATGTATCATTTCGCCTTTATGCACTGTTCTGCTTCCCTGTGGCTGAAGTGTTAATAGGAAAGTGAATCCATAGCAGCAAAAATAGTATGTGGTTCCAGGCAAAGCATACTGTCCTTTCCCCACAGACCATCCTAACCTTTGTCAGATTTGTTAGGCTATTGAGATGTATCTTCATCCTCTTTGAGGGTCCACCTCCTGGAGAAAGAAATGCCTGGCATCACATAAAATAGGGCTCCAGGGTTACACTTCACAGGGCTTTCTACAGTGAGGAAAACTCATATCACAGCAGTAACTCAGCAGAGTATTTTTAACTGTCTGAGATTCTTTCAGGTTGGAGTTAGAAATAAATGGATATCTTTGGTAGCTGTGAAACTTAAATGTCTTGTTCTGTGTTGTCATTGATACAATACTGAAATACAGGAGTGAGAAATGGTAACTGGTTATTGTTGCTGAACATGCAAAAAGAGAGCATAGTCCAATGAATCTTTAGTGAGCACTGCCTAGTCTGGTAAGAAATTGTTTAATTCTCACCTCATTTTATTGGGGGGAAAAAGGTTTTGCTGTACCTGAAGGACTGGGGAAAGAGGTTTTCTGAAGTATCATCAGAGCGTTTAGGAAAACTTGGCCAAATGGGCCACACAGCCAGATTGAAAACTGACTACAGCTTTCAAACTGAATGTAAAGCCACAGTTTCAAGGGTGAAACATCACTGCACTGGAAACACATCCCCTTCTTTTTGGAGACAGACACTGGTTTTTGCTTCAGTGCATTCCTCTTGTCTGTAGCATCAAAATCAAAAGCCGTATTACAGCAACTGCCTGCAGCAGTGCCATTGCCTTTTATGACTGGTTCAGAGGAAGCTCCTTGAAAAAGCAATGAATGACAAGATCGTAAACACTTGAGTCTTATTTACTCTAGCACTTACTCTGCTTTTACTAGCAATGGAGGCATACCAACATGAGCAAAACACAGATGCTCTTTTTTTAGTGTAGGAAAGCCTGGTACTGCATTTTCTGTAAGCAGATTTCACAGAACAGATCTGTGTTGAACTCATGGGTGCATGCTGGCTATTCCTCTTTCAATGCAGCCTTCTCTGTTTTACAACAGCAGCAGAGTCAGCAGAGAGGGGCATCAGATATCTCCTTCACCATTGATGCAAACAAGCAACAAAGGCAGCTGATTGCAGAGCTTGAAAATAAAAACCGGTAAGCATCCACAAAGTACCTGGTTTTGTTCAGTACCATATGTTTGTTTGTTTCTTAGCATTTTTTACCACCTACACCTGTACAATGTGCTTATACATGCACATACATCTCCCGCTACAAAAAGCACAGAGCACAAAAAGATCCACACAATATGACGAAGGCTTTGAAATCCATAGCTACCCCGTGTTTTCATAAGCATACTGTTCAATGGCATGATATAATCATTGATACTTTGCTGTTTGCAGCTGCCGTTTGTAAAGAGTTTAAAAAAAAAAGCCTATCCTGTTTCAAAACCGGATTAACTTTTCAGTCGGATCCTCTGTAGCCCTATAACATGAAACGATAAAAGGATCAGTCACGCTTGTAATGTTATGCTCCCCTGCTTTTATTTGGGAAAAAGATGATTAAAGCTCTCCAGAACACTGTCTGCCTGGGAAAGGTTTACAGAAAGGTTAGCAGCAAGTTAGACTGCTGATCAAATGAGACAGGAGGTACAGATGCAATGGAGACTGAGAGACAGTGTCCAGGAGAAATAGGCCAGCCGACCCCAAAAAGGAGTGATGCCTCTTTGTTAACAGCAGAGAATTGGGCCCTGGGTATCAGACTGCCCGATGCCATGAAACGTATGGCAGCAGAGCTCTGCTTTTAGTGCTGGACTGTAAAATAGAGGCCAGCCCAGACCAGATGGTTTCCTATTCCAAACTCTTCACTGCCTTCTGTCACCGTGTAATGAGCACCACCAGATCCACTCTCAATTTGTCTTTCATAGTTCAAGGCTGGCTCTTGACCGTCTGCTGTCCAGCACATTGTGAAGAAGAGACAAAATTCACAAAGATTTCTACCTTCTGCTGTAAAGCTTTGTATTAGCCTTTTGACAGCACTCTAGAGCTGACAAGCAAGTTGTAACGAGACCTATTAAAGTGCTTCTCTGTGAATTGTTGACTGCTCTCACATCTCTACTTACACTAAAAGTATTTTTTAAGTGCCAAATGTTTTCTCTCGTACTCAAGAAGGGCCAGAAAGGTTATTTTAATTTTTGTTAAGTTCCTGAAGTGCTTGAAATGTTCATGGTGAAGAATTAGAAGGGAGCAATTCAGTTAAGCTTAGAGCTGTTTCGTGTCTACCTCTGATTTTTGGGGGTCTTGAAGAAATATTTCCCTTTATGGCAAAATCTCAAGAGTTTGTTTAAAAAACATCCAGAGCTCTTTCCCATTGCTGAGAGCTTCTTTGGTTGGTTGCAGCCCAGTCATTTTATCTACGTCTACATTGATGAAAAGCTACATACAGTCATACTATTTCTCCTCTTGCGATGGTCAGTGAGCTGGTTTGGTGGAAAATTACTGACTTGTAGTCTTCTGCTTATTCTCCTCCCCAAGAGAAATCCTACAGGAGATCCAGAGGCTGCGACTTGAACATGAGCAAGCATCTCAGCCCACACCAGAGAAGGCACAACAAAATCCCACTCTCCTTGCAGAGCTCCGACTGCTGAGGTAAGTCCACAGAAACTCCGGCCATGACACAGGCCAAACAGTCATTCTCAATAAGAGATGAACCTTGTTTATGGTTTTGGGGGCTTTTTAAGCCTATGTGTATTCTTTCTCCATTTTTGGTGCAGCCTGTTGTCCTAGAAATAATTAAGCTTATGCTTTAAACTGCATGCATGAGGAATCTCACATATTACACATCTACATTACATTAAGCATGTGCATTAGTGTTCGTAGAGTTAGGGCCTTAGAACAGTTGCAATAGGTCCCTGAAGCCCTGGCCAAATGCCATTAATCATATAGGGAAAAATGTTCTGTCAGAACAAACACCTTTAAGAAGGCTTTTGTTTATGCTGAAGAAAATAGAGCTACATGAAAATACAGTCAGAATTAGGTGTTAATTTTTGAAAATTCCCCCCCAAGTGTTGAACACTAAGGAGAGGTTGGTTCTCTTCATTCTGCAAAACCAGGCTACAGAATGATCCTCCTTATCACGCAGGAGGTGGGGAGTAATGTCATCTGCAGCAGCTGAAGATTTAGGGGATCATTCCTCCAGTTATCCCGCCAAGCTAAAAACATTGATATCAATGTGTCTGCATGTTAATTATGATACTCTACATGGATTTACTAATTGCCATGAGTTGAAGAAATACACTTGTCATTGGCCCAGAACCATATGCTCTCTGAAAGTTCTGAAGTTCATGTTGTGAGAGCCAGACAGAGAATCCAATAAGAACTATTCAAAATGCTTCATGTGAATAGAGAATAGGGTGTAAGCACTTTCTTTCCAGTGAAACAATGCTAGATTGCTCTGCCCCATAGCAGTTCTCTCATGAGAAGACTAAAGAACATTGTTGGCCACTCCTCACACAACTAATACTTTAGTGGTATGATTCATTTCAAAGGAAATTACTGTAAGAAATTGTGCTAAATTTTTTTTCTTTACAAATACTTCATAGTTTTATTGTGGAGTTTTCCACACTAAAATATTTTTCTGATTCACAAATAATTCCATTTGCCTTCCAATCTGAAGACGAAATAGCTTCTTCATTTCTATGAGTGATTTTAGTATATAATTACTTCTAGATGTCTACAGGCAAGTGACATTCTGTGGGACATATAAAACTAACTGCGATGAAAATGTGTACGCTGTATAAATTATACCAATAATATAGCTCTTATACATCAAACCTGAAGTCTATTTTCAGCAGGTTTAGGAGATTAACTTTTTATGTAGTTGACAAATAAAATTCATTATATTTTAAAAAAAAAATTGATTGTGCAGTGTTAGCAGGCTACTTAATTTTTCCCTCTTTTCAATTTTGATACACATATTTTAATTTCCTGACACGGGATGTCCCTAGGGCAGTGACGGTGAGTTCCTCAATTATACCTTCTCTCATTTAATAGAAGTGTCAGAATCAGAAAATAACTTTTAATCTGTGGATCTGAAGTGCTTTGCATGCCTTCTAAATGTTCACCATTTGAAAGGCAAAAGTCTGACTTATTTACTGGGAAATTTTGACACCAACCTCCAATTCTTAGACACCTCAGATGGCACAAGGCTGTTCTTACGTGTAAAACAGCAGGACTCAGAACAGTATGTAACAGATTTATGTCTGTTACCCCACAGATTTTTCAGGCTTGATGTGCTTAGGGCAGTAGGGCTATTTAGTTCATATTTTCTTAAGAATTGCTGAAATCCGTAAATTATGTTGTGGGAACCTGTCCCAGCATCTTTCACTAGCTGTTGTAGAGTTGCAGAGTCACTGAAATGAAGTTCTGAACACAGCGTTCCTTCCTGTTACCAGTACTTGGAAAACCCATTACTTCTAAGAACTTGCTCTGGAGAACAGCAGGAGAAAAACTTCAGAGGAATGGTCTGTACAGCGCACACTGCTTAGATCCTAGATCCTCTCTCCCTGTGGAATGAACCTAAAACTCAGCAGAGATCTGTGCTGGGACCTGCCACTTTGAATTACATGGACCTTATTTTTATTAGCAGTTTCTTAAACTCCATTGCCTTTGTACAATTCATAGAGTTTCCAACCATTACATGCCTAGAAAAGAAAAGCCAGCACAGGCATTTTGTAGCAGAAAACAGATGAATCCTTCAGAAGAGTAAATGCAAGCTGGCAGTGTTACTATCTGATTCTATTATATGGGTGAGAGACATGAGGGCACATGAGCAGTCCTGTAGAAATCAGTGTTGCTTACTTATATCAGCAGGTGCTCACTTAGAGAGAAGGGTTTTGTATTTCCCTAAATACAGGAAATGTACTTTTGTTGGCTACAGTACTTTTCCATTTAGGATTAAATTGCCATGTTTTTGTAGGTAGCAGAAGGCTAATGACATACTGGTTTTATGTTATTTGCAACACAGTAGTGTATAAAATATCCTTAATATGTATATTTTTTTAACAGTAATGTTGTTAATTACATCATAGCTTCCAGGAGGGAACAATTTTATTTTGTTTTTAGGTGGGGACCTCTCACACAATTTAGTGCTTGAACATGTGCAAGTGCTGATCCCCCATCCTGTGCAGTGGAGCTATGCAGAGTCAAAGCTGTTCACATTTATGGAGGCACAGAGTGGCTGTCACACTTGGAGAAACTTAGTATTCACACTGTCACAGGACCACCACTGGACTCCAAGTCCAAAGAGCTGATTTCAAGCAGTTATATCTCCACTATGTGATAGTCTTACTCTTGCTTTCAGGAAAAAAGTAGAAACGAAAGCAGTTTTCTCTCTGAATTTCTGAACTCAATCTTAACTTCTTTCATATCTCACTGTGTTCAGTGCCCCTGCTGTAATTTCCTGTCCTTTAGGGCATGGCTTTAATTTCTCCTGACAGCTAGTAAGGTTATTGACTAGAGAGTTCCAAAGACAAAAATTGTCAGCATTTCCTCAGGGGAATATAACACAAATTTGTTTGAACCTCATTTGTTCTTTGAAGAAGTGTCTGTCTTTTCTCTAATCACTGTATTCAGTCCCACGAGGATTCTCAGCATGAAGGAACTCACTAGCCTTTATGTAGCCCTGTTTCTAAGCACTATGCTGAATTCATCCAGTGTGTTTGCTTTCCTGTAGTCAATAGGCATGTACCTCATAGCAGGGCTGGTAAAATGATGCATTTAAAAGCTGCTGATACTGTGAGGGTGAGCTCTGATCAGATCTGCTTGTTTCTCAGACAGCGGAAGGATGAGCTGGAACAGAGGATGTCTGCTCTCCAGGAAAGCCGGAGGGAGCTTATGGTTCAGTTAGAAGGCCTCATGAAACTGTTAAAGGTAAGGAGCTCCACCTGATACTACCAAGGAGAACAGACAGACTGAAGCAAGAGAGGAGAGAGAGGAGATGCAACTCCAGAATTCTGCAGAATTTGACTGTTTCTACCCACAAAATTTGGCTTTGTTTCTCTCCCTTTTTATTTTTTGCATTGCTCTTTCAAGTCAGGGGTTTCAAATGATGCTCAGAAAATGTTCTTGTAGCAACACTGCATCGTCATTGTCACTTACTGCTAAGTGGAGTAAGAATAAGAAAAGAAAAAAACAATATATAAGTTAACTATTAGCTATGAGAAAAAAACCTCAGCACTGTACACTATTACCTACTCCAACTGGCCCTACAGAATTGCTTTGTTTGTTCCTTTAACTTTGCCCATTCAGTTGCTGGTTCTGTCAGATGTGCCATTTGACACCCCAATCTAACTCTCTCACCTTGGAGATGCTGCTCCTACAACCCTTGTTCATTTTCACGAATACAGAAACACGCCCTTGTTAAACAGATAAAACATGCCTCAACAAAGGATCTCAGTTAGAAATGAAGATATCAAAAGGCATGTGCATTTTTAAAGACTAGGATAAGATGGAAAATGTGTCTTTATTTGTAGAGTCCAGCCCTATTTTACCTGATGTGCCTCAGGACAGATGATGCCAGAAATTCACATGGGAAGAAAGAGCTCTGAATAGTGTAGGAGTCTGTTTTGTTGTTGGCCGTGCCAGATCAAATGAGTGCATGAAAATTCAGTGCAACTTGGGTCATATATGTCTCTGATAAAAGCAGAAGGAATTTCACTGAAGTCCATTCGACAACATATATTTTGCATTAAAGGATGCCTTTGACCCCTTATGTCACTTGCACCTCCTCAGACACAGGTTTCTGCAGCCGCAGTGCAGGAATTGGTGGCACCTGAGCAGCAGAGCCCACCTAGTAGTCAGCATAGTTTTGGGAGCTGGATTAGGCAGGAAATTTTTGCTCTACCTATGAAATGCTGCAGTGCTACAGCTAGCAGTGAGGGCTGCCTGATGTCAATACACTGCCTGGACAAAGACAATTTGGGGTAGAAATGATAGCAGCTTTCTGCATGCTTTGCACTGTTATGGTGTTTCAAAGTATGCGTAGGTGGGACCTTAACCTGGTCACATACCTTCAACTATCTTTGTACCTTTAACTCTGTACTCCAAATTTGGATTTGTTTTCTGTTCTTTACTTAAATCCTGGCTAATCTCATGTACTGAACCTCTTTTTCTTTAGGAAGAAGAATTGAAACAGGTAGTAAGTTACCTCCTTATTGCAGGCCTCACTAACTCCTAAATGTGATTGTGTTCCTGTGATTTATTTTACTTCCTCTGCTTGAGAAGTGCGTGTGTTCTTTTGACCAAAATTAATATTTTGCAATTCTTTCCCATATTATTTTCAAATATCTTGGAGCAATTTTCACAGCTGAATATCTTAACCCTCTAGAAAGTGAGTCATGACTACAAGGAATCTTGATCTTTTTCTCACTCCTCTAAGTAAAACACATAAGGTTTTTACCTGACATGGTAAACCTAGAATATGGATTAAAGAACATTTATACTATACATAACATTTTGAAAATGTAATAAGAAATTTGGAACTTCAAGAAAAACATAACTGAGCTTAAATCAGACCCAGGAAAATAGTTTAAAATCCCATTTTACTCAGAAAAAGTCAGGGCATAGTGTGCACATCTTTAAAAGTTGGCACTAATGCTAACATTCCCATGAGTCTTCAGGAGATTAAGTGGTTTCTGCAGCCTAAATCAAAAAGAGCAAGCATCTATATTACTAATAGTAAATTTTAAAAGATTTGTTTTGAAACTTATTAGTTTTGTAATGGATCTTGGAAATATATTAGGCTTTTAAGAAAAGGCACTTTTCAGATGGCAGTTTGATTTATGAGTTCAATAAAAATGTTTCATTTTAACAAAACACACTTCATCTTGCTTCCATCAGCAAAAGTACAGTCACAAGTCTGACATGTTCTGTCTATGGTAGAGAGTGTGGAGTTTGTTTATGGGTAATGCTCACCTTCATAAAACTGACACTGGCTAATTTTTTTAGAGCATCAATCTACACACAAAAAAAATAAAGCTGACCAAACATCACCTTCATGTAAAGGTTGTCTTTTTTGATTCTGCAGTATTAAGAGATATTCCATTCACGAAAGAGAAGTTTTCAATGTGGCAGGAGTTTCCCGATCATATAAAATGTTCACTGGACAGTATAAGTGAAAGCACATTTTCAGACTGTTACGAGATATTTTTATGAGATTTTTTTTTTCTTCTGAGAGTAATAGCCTCACTGAATACCAGGTGATGATGCTAAAGAATTATTCTCACCATTTCCATTTAATGGTCCTCATTATGCTATGTCATTTCATGATCTGTTGAGAGAAACAGGATTAAATTAATTTCTGGAGGAATTCAATCGGAATGAGCAGCCTGGCAATTCATCTAATGGTTATAAACTATTTCTCTACTGCCTTTCCTTGAGAAAGGATAATGAGTTCTTCACATCCTTGTCATTTGATGAGGCTGTGAGATGGGCTTTCCCCATATGTTATCGCAGTTCAGTCCCGGCAGAGGGAGCAATGGGCTAAAGCTCCTGTAAAGCTAGTTTTCGTTTCAAACATTTTATCCTAAGCATGCATGACTCTTGGTAGTGGGAAAATCTTTCCTGTCTGGCAATAATTAACTTAAAAGCCATAGCAGTTTGACTAGGGATGGTGAATAAAATAAAATACATGAAAGTTTTCCTAAAAGGTATGAGGATATATTGATAGCTGCAACCGAGTACAACACAAAAGTTGAAGCCATCCAAATATCCATGGTGGCTGTGGTAGCTCCCCTTTCAGCATGCCTTAGTTCTCAGCTGGTGGAGCTGCCAAGTTTTGGGATCAATTCAGTGCTCAATTTCTCTTTTGAGCTTACCAAGAAGTTGCTACTGACTGTCATAGCAGATTTCAGACCGTTAGCTCTAGCCCTTGAGAACCACATTTCTCCCAATAATCACTAAGCTGGAATCCAATCCTACTTGTACGTCATTCGCACAAACTCGGGCTGAGGTGGATCTAGATGAGTAAAATATATTTAGTGTTAACCTCTCTGAAATTGGGCATTGCCTAATATCCTCCTGTTTCAACTTGCTGTTCATCAGTTCTGTCTGATACTGCCCAAATAGTATAAAAAGTGAGGAGGTTTTTTTCCTGGACAAGGGACTCCAATTGCTTAATCTCCGTGTGCTTCCCAAACACTTTGTTCCAGCACCAAAAGCTACAGATAAGAGAACACTGTTTGTCATAAACACAAAATCTCAGTCATAGCTACAAAGCAGACACAGGGCAAGCACTGGTTATGCAGCAGCTTTTGCGTTTCTCTTGTGGGAAGTACTGACAGGCATCCGTTATTTTTAATAAATAAAATGCCTATCCTGAAGTTCATTCCTGAATGTGACTTGAAGCAAATTTTGTCCATGTTTTTTACCTCATCTTCTCTGAAAGTTCCCACTGATGTTGACGTTCCCCAGAACTGAGATCAAAGGCAAAGGAGAGCTAAGGAAAAAAGGCAAGTGAAAAAAGGCATTCCTCTTTCAGGGAGCTGGGAACCAAAAATTCTTTCACAGATTTCACTGAGGATGAAATATGCTCCATTGGGGCATGAAAGGAGAAAGCTGTAGATCCCAAGTGCCCTGCCTGATGTGCAGGGGGTGTGACATCCAAGGACCTTGGAGCATATCCAGGTTGCTCTGTGCCCTGCCTCTGGAGGATTAGAGATCTGCATTTTTGCTGGATCTGGTACAGATGATTCCAGAAACAGGAGAGCATCTGGCCTTTATATATTTGACTTGCCTTTCATCCATCATTTAAATGTTCTAAACCCAATCATTAAAGAAATTATAAGTATTAAATCCTCCATTCTTCCATTAGTAATGTGCTTATTCCTCATAAACCTAATTTGCCCTTGATGTCTTTCTGGGGATAATGTCTCTTAGAAAGGGGTGATAGGAGAAAAGAACAAATAGCCTAGTATTCTGATACATTATTTATGGTTCAGGGCAGAAATTTATAAAAATCTCAAGGGCAGTGCTGCGCTCATCCTGAAGTGGGCCGCACTTTGTCTTTTTGGAACATATTTGCCAAACCATATCAGGGCTGCAGTGGCAACCAATACAGAAGTCAAAATAAATGTCATGGGGAGAATTAAGAAATCCTCCTGAATTCTCAAAATAAATGGAGGAAAACACCAACCCTCAGGTCACTTTTGATTGTAAACAACCAAGAGCTTGTGTTACAATTCCCCTTTAACAGCACTCAAGCCACCTCCATCTTTAGCATCTGCTAAACACAGGTTTTCAGTCAAAAACCATGTGCAATTTGGTGTGGGCTCCAGCATTTGTTTTTCTTTATGTGGATAAACATTCCCAGGGGTTCAAATCAGTGGATGAGAGGAATACCATGTCTCTTGGTATCACTCACTCACCCAGCTGCATTAGTAAAAATTAGTATTCTGTAAAGTCTTCTTGAATTTCAGCTAAGTGATCCTAACTGTGAGGTGCTAACAGCATGACATTTATGTGACTGGTGTTAAAACATTTTCACTTCCAGCAGCTGAACCCGTAGAAGGAATTTATATTGCCCTATCCCCACAGTTTTTCAGGAGTGCCTGAGTATATCCTGTAGAGAAAATAATTTAATAGTGTATGTTTAGTAGCAGCTCAAATAGTTCTCTAGTTCCAAATAAAAAGCAGAAAGTTGTATTGTTTATTGCGAGTGTCAGACTTTATGTGACTGAGAGGTCTCACGTACCATGAACTTGTCCTGCAGGGAGGCAGAGGGCAGGGCTGTGATCTGATGAAAGGGGCTGTTTCAGTCCCTTGCCCAGGCTGAAAGCCATGCTGGTGCCAGCATCTTTTCCCTTCTCACAGCCAGAACGGGTTATGTTTTATCAGGCATTCATGTGAACTGGGGGAGTGAGAGAGGGAAGAGGGCAGAGAGTTCTATAGTGTGGTGTTTATTAACTTGGATTTTTTTTTAATTTAGCTGCCTGACATTTTCCCGTGCTTAAAGGAAGTCAGATCTTGACTCATATTTTCCTGCTTACTGTTTTTTTACACAGAAGCACTGCTGTCCACTAACAACTGACTGTGGTATATTTCTTCTAGCACAATTAACATTACCCAACTGATCTACAAACAGCATGATGCCTTAAAGCTGAGGGATGGGTGACAAGGACAGCAGGCAGACTCTTGCAAAGACCTGTTTAACCCCTTGTGATTGTTTTGCAGACCCAAGGGGCAGGCTCCCCACGTTCCTCACCCAGCCACACGATCAGTCGGCCTATTCCAATGCCCATCAGGTCTGCCTCTGCCTGCTCCACCCCAACCCACGCACCTCAGGACTCTCTGACCGGAGTGGGAGGAGACGTGCAGGAAGCCTTTGCACAAAGTAAGTCTCATAGCTTGTCTGAGGTACCTGGAGACTGAAGAATCATTATTTCTTGTGGTTACTGTCTAAATGAACTTGAGCTTGAGAGTTGCATGCAATGAAACAAAACGAAACAAAACACATTTTGCAACAAACGGGTTTTGCCGTTGAAAATCGACTTTGTCAGCCATCAGACCTTGCTGTCAAAGTGATCAGGTAAGCAAAAACTGGACAATGATGCCAGTTAATGGATTTTATGGTAAGAGGGAATTTTGATCAAGATGGTCAAAGTGATTATAAGTGCTTTGTTAACTAGAAGAATTGCTATTGATCTTAGCAAGGCGTTGTCAGTGTGTTTGGTTTTAAGTAAAGACTTTACAAGAAATAGATGATACAGTCATAGAATTAGTTCAGGAGGAAAGGGCTTTTGTAAGTCAGTGTGCCCGTCTGCTCCAAGAAAAAGGGCTTCAAAGTGATATCAGACCATTCAGGATCTTTACCAGTAGAGTTCTAGATGGCTCCAGGCACACATTTTCCACAGTCTCTGTTCCAGTGTTTGATCATGTTTACTGTGTGAATTTCTTGTCCTTGTATCTGATTGGAACATCCCTTGATGCAACTTGTGACTATTGTCACTTGTCTTTTTGCTTTCAGCCTCTGAGAAGGGTCTAGTTAGACTGGACAGGAGTAGAGTCTGGAAGTCTAGGTGAACCCTTTCTTTGCATTTCCAGAAAACTGCCATCCCCTTCCCACTCTTCTGTCAAGTAACAATAAATTTTAAACTGTTTTGAATTTCTAAGGCCACAAATTAAATGATTATGTTGAATACTGAAGAAAGTGAGTCTGCTCTCTCCTAAAATATTTACATAATTGCAATTCTGATTTGAATAATTTTTTTACCTCTTGCCCTAGTACAAATTAAATGTAAGTTTAAATGTAAGCTCTGAAGTTCCTCTGCTACAGTTGAAGCATGTTTGTTCCCTAGAGCCCAGGTCATCCCTCTCATGCACCCTTCCCCTTGATTTCCATGGGAATTGTGTCTTTGTGTGTATCTTAGATCGAATCAGTAATGCAATCAAGAATTTTCTCCTAAAGTGCTAGTCAATTCATGTATTGAACAGAGGCATAATTCCTAGTACCAATATAACAGGTCACTGCTGATCTCATTTTCTAAAAGAAACAGACAAGATATATTTTTATTTTTTTTCTGCTGTGAAAAAAAACAAGGCAGGCAAAAATATAAACTGCCAACCCCTATGCTGTTATGGGACAGTTTCTTCCAGGGCTAAGAGTAATAGAAATAATGTAGTGGCCGCAATAAAATATCCATAAACAATACTAAGGCTGCCTCAGGCAAATGCATTTTAAGTGTATAAATGTGTTCTGGTCAAGATAAAGAGCAATATAAAAAGTTATGTGATCACATTTAAAACTGCTGCATTTGATAAATATGATAAATATGTAGCTTTATGTCGTTATTTACTATATTCTCTAGATGGGAAGGTCAAACCCCAAGAACTTGAAGCCAGCCATTCTGTCACATCTTAACATACGACTTTGTGAGGGGGGTTGGGCTGAGATTCTATGGCTCCATTCTCTGCTGCACCAACAAAGATCTGCCTATATATACATAATGCAGACAAACCATGGTTAAAGGACATGTTTCCTTCGTTGTTTCTGTTTCTCTTTCATAGTGTTTGCAACAGTTCAGAGTTACAAAAGTGAGAAGATTTTAGAGAGGGAGTGACTGTCTGTGTGTTTATCAGAGAGAAATTAACTACTCTAATTTACATTCCAGTAATCATTTGCTAGTGGATATATTAAAAGAAACCTCCTTGGGATTTGAGGAACTTTTTAAAATGTATTGTTTTGCATTCAGGCAGTTTTTAAAAATTTACAGCAGCCAAATCCTGCCAATTCCTGTAAATAATTCTATTTGGAAGACTAGAGGTTCTGTGGGATATATTGATTATTCAGCTACAATAGTATCTATGTTTGGGATTTGGGGGAGTTAAGCATGCATTACCCACAGACCCCTCCTTAGGAAGGAGTATTTCATGCAGCTCACAGGAATCTTTCATGATTGATGGTTAAGGGAATATTGCCAGGTTCAGCAGGGAAGCACTTCTAGATGCATTATTAGAAAGAGTTTAAAAGCAGCCTGGGGCTGTTTAGAGAGGCAATAGCACTTCCTTTATTAAAAAAAAAAAAAAGTGGGAGTGGAAAGAGAGGCAGTAAATTATAGAATATACAAGAAAGTCCTTGAGTTACAGGAGAGGCTGAGAGGGAGTGGAGAAGAGAAATCTGCATAGTCTGGGTGAGGTCAAGTGTGTTTCTTCAACATTTGCCATAATTATCTGGCAAATACCTGGCAATAATGGTGTCATTAAACAGAGCTGTGGGAACTTACAGAAAAGGCTTCATTTCTTCCCTCCTCCCCCACAGGCACTGTAAATGAGTTCACGCTGGATTTAATCTTCCAGGCCTGGTCTGCTGGTGTCACCACAAATGCAAGCTTGATGGCAATGAATAATCTCCAGATATCTGGCATTGTGATTAAATGAAGCGTGAGGGTAGGCTTCTGCTTTTGCATACAGCATAAGTAAATGAGGCCATTCTGCAGAGAACTCCACTGCACGTGTCCTTCGTAAGGACTTTGATACCCTGAATTATCACAATGACAGTTTTCAACGGGGTTAAAACTGCCTTCAAGAGGAAAACATATGTCATGTGAATAATCGTAACACTGTGCTTTGTCCGTCTCTTGCTTCAGGTGCAAGACGAAACTTAAGAAATGATCTGCTGGTGGCAGCAGATTCAATCACCAACACCATGTCTTCTTTGGTAAAAGAACTAAATTCTGGTGAGTGAGGTTGGCCAGGGTGGATAGTCACTACATTGACATTTTACATATTTCTGAAAAAAAATGGAAGGTGGGAAGATACAAAGCAACAAAAAGGCAATGTAATATATCTTTAAAGCTTGTCATGCTTTTAGGAAAAAAATCCTTATATAACAGCTTCAGGAACACAGCAGTTTCATGAAGCCATGGATGTAGAGGTGCAGCTGGATATAGTGAAAACTTGAAGTTTGTTTGTTATTCCATGTGGAGTGGGATTTCACTCTTTAGAAATATCATTCAGTATAGAACGTATAGGACCTATTGTAAAATGTAGTCTGTAGTAGTCTCATTAAAATATCTTACCTTATAACTGAGATAAGCAAAAGCTTCAATATTTGGTCCCACCACAAGAACAAAACTATAAGCTTTGTAGAATAATATGCTGTTATTCACTGTGGACATAGCATTCTCGGTTGGAAAGGCAGAAAAATGCTTAGAGAAATAGGCAAGAATACTTACTTTTGTGAAAGTTAAATGGAAATTTTTGCTTCACAGAAGTGGGCAGTGAGACAGAAAGCAATGTGGATTCTGAATTTGGACGGACTCATTTTGATGACCTGGTTCCATCCCCGACATCTGAAAAGGCTTTCCTCGCCCAGATCCATGCCCGGAAGCCAGGATATATCCACAGCGCTGCTGCCACTGGCTCTCTCCGTAGTGACATGTGGGTACCTGCTCAACCTTCTTAATCACATTCTTTTTCTTTTGAAAACAATGTGCAGCACACAGTATTTTCCCTCAACTATTTGATTACAAAAAAGAAAAAGCATAAATCCAAGTGAGGACTGCTTCATGGTTAGATAGTAGGGAGCTCTGTAAAGGCCAGAATTTAGGATTCCCTCAGGAGTGAGCTGTCTCGCATCCAGCCTGGTACACTCAGGCAGCATGGAGGCTGTTGGGCAGATGTTCTCCCTAATATGCTCTGCAGTCCTGTTCTCTGCTTATGCAGACTGAGGGGCCTATTAGAGCTCACTGAGAAAAAAAAGCTTTTAAATGGAAAAGACAGAATGCTTTTCATTGACCAACTCAATTGATCAACAAACAGATTTATTTTTAGAACCTGAATCTTCCTTTCAGAGACAGTACGGATCTTTCTAGTTATTTTTAGTTCAACCTCTTTGTATCAAGTTATTCAGAACTTTTGTTACTCATTTCCTTAGGGAAATGCCTTCAGCTGAATATGCCCTTTGGTGTACTTCATCAATGCCAAACCACTGGAGAGGGGAAATATCAGACGTGTTTTCCACTGCCAGGAAAATACTAGCCAGTGGAGCATGTCGTTGGACTAAAAGTATCCCACACTCTTCATAGCTTACAATAAGGGAAGTTTTATTGACTCTGAATGTCATTCATCTCAGGAGGCTATTTATTAATGTCTTCAGGGTTACAGAAGATGGAGACCCCTATGTCAGAGCAGATGATGAAAATTATGAGAATGACTCTGTCCGCCAGCTGGAGAATGAACTGAAAATGGAGGAGTACCTGAAGCAGAAGCTGCAGGATGAGGCATACCAGGTGAGAGAAGGACACCAGCTGCCCATATTTCTCCATAAGTGAGAGACGACAGTGCGCCGTAGACACCCAGTGCCATCTAACCGGTCCTGGGCTCTGGGGTGTGATTTCTTCTCAGTTAATAGAGCAGCTACATCCCAAAAACTGCTGCCACTTTTCAACAGACACACATGCGTCTATCCTTTGTGCATATCCAGGAAGACCACACTGCCTGAGGCACACAATGGTAGTTCATAAGCTTAGCAAGGGTAGCAGGTGGGACAGAATTGCCTCTGAACTTGTTCTCTGCCTGTGCCTACCAAGTCACTTAGACCTAATTCCCCCCTACCATAGATGCTGGCTATTGGTGTCAAGCTGTGTTGCTATTTTCAGATATTTTTTTCTTCAGTAGCAAAAACCATTCATAATGTTTCTCCAGTGTGAACTGAAGCTAAAGTGCAGTCTGTGTGTTAATGTCATTGTCAGAATTTGAAAGTACAGAAAAGGGTCTGAAACGAATTTTATCACAGGGGACCAAGTATTCAACAACCTGGGGATTTCTTATTAAGCACCTCCCTGAGGAAGTTCTCAAAGGGCATTTGTTGAAGAGTCTGAGTAAAACAGATATGCCAGGGGGAGCTGGAATTCTGTAGATATCCATGTCTGCGTCATGATCTCCACTTCGTCTGGGTGTAATGGATTATTGCCAGACTTTAAGTTATTCTGACTTGGATCATCTGAATATAAAATACATTACTTTTTATAAAGTTGGTAGTAGTGTCAGTAGGAGGGCAAACCTAGTTCAGTTATTTGGGAGTAGAGCTGAACCAAGCAGAAATAACTCTTTTCCCACATGGTGATCAGTTTGAATTTGAACCTCATCCCTACAGAACATACACCGTAAGATTAAAGGGGCTAAAAAGACCAGATTAGGCAGGTTGTGAGAGATCAGAGATATGCAAATGAGATTCAAAATCACTTCATGGGCAGGAATTCTTTAAACTGCTGATTTCTGGGAGCTAACAAAATCTAGCCTTTTTTTTCTAGTACTTTTCATACAGTATCCAGTGCAGTCACTTTGGAGACAATAATCTGGGACTGACAGGCTTGTGATGGAATGAAGATTGGCTGCTTTTTTGGTCTTCTTTTCTGTAAAGCTGCTAGGATATGTTAGTCTTGTAGAAGTTCATCAAGTCTTATGAAAATTGCAGGTAGTCTTGAGGTTGATGTGAGCATCTTTTTGTTGTTCTTGTTTATGTAGACCAGCTACGTGCCCATGATAGCTTGCCAAAAGTCATTTCATTGCAAAGGTCTTTAAGGACACGACGAAAGGAGAAGAATTGTTATAGACTATTTATGAAGGCAACAGCGGGTGACATGGGGGGATTGTCAGAATTTTTTATCCAAGATAGGAAATGGCAAAAATCACAGCCTTTAAACTTCTGAACAGGATGAGGAGGTACTGCTGATAAAAAGAAAAGTAATTGTCAGTTATAAAGAAGGGGTGCCTCAATGATCAGAGCTGTCAGGCATCAAATAATAAATGTTATTCTTTCTGGTAAAAAATCCATTTTCTTCAAAAAGAATAATAGACCAGTTTGACTGTATTTTGATTACAGTACAGAAGTGCAATATATGGCAATGGTGTTCCATGAGTATCACAGGTTACAAGGGGATTTTGTGCATGCATAAAATTCAGTATGCATGTGCACCGCAAATAAGGGCAGTAGAAGTTATATGTCGGTCAATGCCACTGGGTGTTACTCTTGCTTCAGTCAAAACAGAGCTTTTCTGCTGTCCTCCACCAACATTCCCAGAAGAAGGAGAGGAAATCTCCTTATCAATGTCAGAATAAAACTCCTTCTGAATTAAGGTCAGCTAAGACTACATCCAGGTGAAGTTTATTCCCCATTGGTTTACATTATTTGTTTCCACCAGGAGCAATAAAAAAAAAAAAAGGCTTTTTTATTTAAAATATATTCACTGAAGGAACAGAATGTCCTCATTCTAGACAAGTTCTGTTTAACAGCATTTTTCCAAAAGAAATTTCGTGGTGTACTTTACTGTCTGTGAGATTGTCAGCTCCTATCAGGCAATGATTTGACAGTAGTGACTTGTAAGTAGAATCTATTTTTAGTTGATAACCACAGACCCAAAGCATGAGAAGTCTTTCCCAGTATGACTGATGCCATTTCAATTACAGAGCGGGTTTAAAGGAAGCAAGAAAAGGTATTAAGTTAGTAGGGACTACTAAGATGATTAGGAGTTGGTTTGAGTGTCATGTATTGATCCTGAGACATGTGCTTTGGCAGTGGCTTGTTTTCTGCAATTTACTCTTTATTTGTGGCATTTTGCTATTCTATTCATTTATCTACTAATACCACTGAGTATAAAGACACGACTTCCTACTTGCAAAAACAAAGGAAAATTGGGAAATTTCTGTTTAGGGTATCCTGTTGAACAGTGGCCAGGTCAACTATTCTCATTTGCATCAAACCATTGGAATTTATTACAAGCTATTTTACTGTCTGTACTCACATGTACACTGCATTCATCTGGATTGCAAAAAAAGCTGGAAGCTGTAGCTATCGTAGTGCAATTGTCAGCTGAAAACTGCGGGGAGGAACTCATACTAAGGTTACAGAATGGTAACTTCAGTAACAATCTGGTAACCTTTTTTATGTTATTAAATGTCTCACTTTGTGTAAAAGCTGCACATTTAGAGAAACATGTAGATGTCGTGTAGCATGGAAAATGCTTGGTCCAAACCCACTCTTGTTATTTTGTGTCACCTTGTTTCCAAGCAAGATTTTCATGCTAAACTCTAAATTAATATGAAAGTATGAGCAAAAAAAGCCAAGATACATGGGGAAATGAGGGACAGGGAACCTCAAGGAGGCTTCTTTCTTTCTTTTTTTTTTTTGAAGCATGTTGTAAATAACAGGTATCCATATCAGAAAAAAATCCCCACATATTAATGCACAAGTATACATGCTAACAGTGATTATCCTTCCACATCTGCTTCCAGTTGTGTTCTTGTTACAGTCTTTTGCTGGGTGTGTTGTGTAAGACAGTTTTCATTGGTTTTATTTTCTGGGTCCCTAATTGCTCCCTTTATTTCTAGGCTTTTGCATGGCTTTCTTCAGAATAATACACTGCCTGGCTGCTCACGGGCTTAATTTGTCATCTTCTTGTTTTCTATCCTTTGTTATCTACAGGTCAGTTTGCAAAGTTGAGTGCAATATCCTTCTCTCTCCTCTCAAGTAAGTATTATTATAATTTAGAAGACTGTTTGGAATTAATCCTCATAATGTGTTGTATTTCAGTTGCAATGCACCTTGAGCCATCTGAATGTGTATGAGGATGCTGTTTCTTTCTTCTTTTAACCTGTGTTGGGATGCCTAGGAATCTCTCTAAAGCAGTTCTAATTTACTGAAATATGCTCCTAGTCCTGAGGATTCCCATTAAGCTATCTTTTTGCTTTGTTGACCATCAGAGTGAGAATGTGGGCTTTTCATCCCTAGGGATGACAACAAATATATTGGCCAGTACAGAGACACCTTATCCAGAAGATAAGGAATCAGATTACGTTTCAGGAGACCTGAGTTTAATTCTTTTTAATGCTTTAATCAATGCTAGGATAACTGAAATAAATAATTTCTGGTGAGATCAGAACATCTCCTCCCATGTGTGAAACAGAAGTCAGGCAAATATTACAAAAAACAATCCACCAGCTGCTTAACCACAGAGGTATCTTCAGATGTGTTGTGGAAGTTTAAAATGCCCCAATCCAAAGTGCAAGGCACTCAGCTACTAGCTAGACTCTGGCAATTCAGACACGGTAAGAAGATCTATAAATTCCCTGCTGTCCTGTATTCAGGTCATGTTCCTTACACATGCCAACCTCACAGTTGCAGCACCGAGATTAATGCCAAGTTCAGCAATTGTGTTTTTCTTCAGGAAGACAGACAACGTCTATTTTTATGAAGTAGCCTGTTATTCTGAACACTTGCCCAGGAAATGGGAGGCCACACATTTCCTTTTTGCCTCATCTGAAGCTGTGGGCTCTGCATTTCTGACTTCCTAGGAGAATGCCCTGCTGTGACGATGGCAGTGAGACAATGCTGTCCATCCTACTGAGACACTGAACCATGGGGTAATGGGGCCAGAAAGGCAGGAGAAGTCAGAATAGGGATCTGAATCTGGTCTGTAAACTGAGCCTCTTCCTCAAAGCCAGAACTAATGGCAAACAGAGGTCAGTGATCAAATGGACACTACAACTTGGGAGCAGGGTCATGTTCAGATGATCCCCTGCTCTGATAATCAAAACCAGTGAACTAGCCTGTGCCAACTCTAGCAGGAACTGATATTGTTACATTTTGTATGCCATGTTTTATGCTAGACCTCCTTATTTATAAGACAGTTTTGATGGCAAAACTTGACCCTAATTCAACGGGTTTGCAGCTTGTGCTGACAGTAAAATTTGGCTGTTAAAATGTATACCTTGTGAAAGTAGCTGCTAGTAGGTATTTCCAAAGCAATGTCTCTTGCAGCTAAAGCAGAATAAATGGATGTGAAAAGCAAATAAACTGCAATACCCAGAGTACTATAAACACCAAATAACTGCTCATAAAAATTGTCCTACTTTGCCCCTCAGGTTACATTCATTTTCTCAGTAGTCCTGTTAAAAATATGAGCTGTGTAGAGTTTCCTAAACATTGACAGCCAGGAAAATAAGTTTTTTTTATTCTGTTTTGTTGCAGTTGTCAGTTATAGATGAGGTCACAGGAAAAGGAAAATAGATCTTTCAACAACAATGTATGCATATAACTGTGTATAGTGGAAACGTTATATAGAACTTAATTTAATTACAGTTTGCAAACTTGCAAATAAGTTGAAAAAATCCTTTTCATTAGAATTATAAAACTGAGGCAATTCCATTTAAGGTTTCGTTTTTTGTTAGGAAGCAATGTTAACGTAGTGATATGAGGAAATGCATATTGCTGTACAGCCTACCTTTCTTGAAAATATGTATCCTGTCTCAAATTAGCAGAGATCTGAGACTACTATCTCACCTCCTGGATGAGAAGCATTTTGAAATCCTGTCAAAAAGAAAAAAGAGTTTCATAGTGAAATTCTTTTTGGCTCCCAGGGAAGCCCTTCAGCCAGTAGCAAAGACTGTAATATTCCCACCAGCTGTAAAAGCCCAACCATACAGAAATTAACATTCAAATCTAGTGGATTTGGCATTTCACCTACATCCACAAGAACAAACTGTATTATGGTACCTTATGATAAATACATCTACATGTGGTGTGTCTTAGTCTTCTCAAGATTCACTCTCTTGTGAATATGGAAGTCTGTCATATCTTGTGTGTTTTACTCAGTACTTAAATTTCATGGCATTGGAAAAATAATTTCAGAATAGTTCATACCAGTCATGGTACATAAAGTGCTTTTGCTTTTTACGTTGGATTCTTGCTTGCAGCTTAGAAACTGCACAAAGAGTTTTATTTCTAAGCTGTTATTCAGTCACTAATGATACAAATACAGTCCATATGACCCTAGATGGCCATATGAGGTAGAAAGCCAACAGATTTTCCCATCTCACAACAGTATTACATTTGTGCTTATTTAAAAAAAAAAAGATGAGGGAAATGAGATCAGTTTATCGTAACTGCATATGTGTGATATTGCTGCTGATGGCCAGCCACAGAGTTTTGTCCATTTCCTCATTTCATTAATCTGGGGTTGGTGTCATTTGATTAGGGCTTAATGCAATCTATTTGCATTTGTAAAAGTGCTATGTACAGTTTTCTGGAATTGATTTTGGAATAACATCTAGTATAACAAATTCCAAAGACAGCAGGTGATTCCAGTAATATATAAAACATAATTTAATCGTGTTTTCAGTTTACTTTTTATGTTAAATGTACTTGTTTTATTTTTAGTAAAGTAACAGAGTGAATTTGAGCTTGTTTTCAGCAGGCACTGGGCAGATCTTAATATCGGGTGAACCTGCAACTTTGATGTCATTTTACCTCTATCCCCTTGATAGCAGTTGGTTTTTTGCCAAGGGTAGCCAATGGGAGCAGAAAATCTCCATTTCAGAAACTGGTTGAAAAGTCATTTTCAATTAATTGCTGTTGACTTGTGCAGTGAACATATTCCCACGAGACCTACAATTTCCTAGATTTTCTAAAGCTATTCTTTCTTAATGCTGGCACACATTTGAGTTGGTCATGCCTAATTCATTTATATGCATTATTATAACAGAAAAGAAAGTGTGAAAAGCTAATACAAATCAGACCTAAAGCATCCACTGAGAGGGAGTACAGGGAGGAGTCTTTATTAGAGATTTTGTTCTCAGTTTTTTAACAGTGATTCTCCCTGTCTCAATCAAAACATGTAATAATTTCAGTTAAAGACTCAGATCCATTCCCACTCCAAACCCTCTCACTCACTCAAAACCTTATAACATAAAATGTTGTGGGATCTGGGGCTTTGAGTGGCTGTGGTGACATTTTCCACTGCAAAAGTGCCTCAATGGTTTGTATTGAAACAGGTGGAATTTTTTTGAAACACAAAACCCGCAAATCCTCTCATTTTTTTTTATATTAATGCATTCTTAAAAAAATACTATATATTCAACTTGACTGTTTTTCCAAGACAGAAATCTTACTGAGTAACACTTCCATATTTTTCTCATCTCTTACCTTTTTTTTTTTTTTTCCAAACTCTGTTTTCATGTTTACCAGCAGAGATTAGGAGTATCTCTGCTGGTAGAGAGATGGTGTGGTCAGTCCAGTCCGCCCAGTGTGCCACTGTGAGAAGGGCTTGGTGTTGGCTAAGCCAAAGGGCACAGATTAATTGTTTAAGTGCTGTGAAGATACAATTGGCCTGCATCCATGTTTTTTTCTGAGAAGGAAAGATTTTAAAGCTAGCATGCAGTTCACTGGCTGTTGACATTTTCAGTCCTTTGCAATGAGGACTTCACCATTTACTGTTTGGGAAAGATGGGACACAGGATCCATAGCCCAGAGTCCAAGTCAGGTTACTAGTCCTCAGCTGATGGACATGTGGGTGCTATATTTGCTGTGTCCACAGCCTGAGGTCTCATTTCCCAGCTGTGCCCTGGCCTCTCTTCAGCTCTAGGGCCCTAAATGCTGCTGCTCAGAGCAGCTCACACACTACAGTTCATTCCTTGCTCGGATTTCATGCCGGGAGCTCAGGAGATCACAGAGGAGTGATGGTTGGTGTGTTGGTTGACTGGACCCTCAAGAGGCCATTTGGTCCAGTCTCCCACCTGATGCAGGTCTATCTGCAACACAAGACCATGTCAGCCATGGCTTTCTCTAGCAAAGATTAAAACTTACACAGATAAAAATTTCACCACCTCCCTGGGCAGTGTCATCCTTCTTGTACCTTTTGTACCTCATGTCCAAGCTGAACCTCCTAAAATGCCTTTGTCTTTCTTCTGTACTTCAGCACTGCCAAGAAGATTTTTGCTGTGTTATCCCTGTAAATGCCCCTCAAATACCTGCTAACTGATCCTCCCTTGACACTTCTGCCCCAAGCCCAGTTTCTTCAGCCTCTTCCTCCTAAGCCAGTGATGCAGCAGTGAAGAAGAGACATACAGGCTGTAGATGAACTGCTCATATACATATAAGTCATACTCTACTAGCACAATCAAATGATTCAGCATCTCTTTTTTTTTTTCCTGAACTAATACATAAAAGCCAGCATTATCAGGACCATTCCATTTGAAAATAACAGGAGGCTGGCAGCACAGTAATTTTCAAAAATGTCTGCTACATTCACTCAGTTCTGTTTTGGTTTTCATTTTTATTTTTCCCCTTAAGTCCTCCTCTTCTTAGCATGTAGGTTTAAAAAAAAAGCTGTAAAAGAACTGTGACCAAGTTAACGGGGAAGAAGCAACTTTAGTGAATTCAGTTCTAAAATTACACAAGTGATAGGGGTGTTTTTTGAAAAATCACTGAATGATAAGTAACAGAAAAGAACCTGTGGATTCTGTTACAGAAAAGGTCAAGAAACAATTTTATATCATGACAAATCATATGAGTCTTGACTTGGAATTAATTTTGGCACTTATAAAATGTTGCAATGAATTTAAAGCTCTGAGGTTCATTAGTACTCATTATTTCTTGTATGAAAATCTCTCTATCCCAGTGCTGGCTGTGGAATAGAGAATTTAGAATAACCCTTCCCACACTCCACCAAAGAGAAGTAATTTATCCAGAAAATTTGAAGCAAACCCAAATACTTAGCATTACTGTCAATGTCATCTTAATGCTTCCCATGCTTCACAGGCCCCTCTTATTTTACTCTTGTGGTTTATAATGATACTGTCAAGAAATACGAGATGTTCCTATATTTTAGGATATTAGGAAAAATTTTGTCACTGACAGAGTTGCCCAGCACTGGAATAGGCTGCTCAGAGAAGTAGTTGCTGAGTCACTGTCCCTGGAGGTATTTAAAAGGCAGGTGAATGTAGCACTTGGGGACATGGTTTAGTGGTGAACATGGGAGACCTGGGTTAACAGTTGGACTCAATGATCTTAGAGGTCTTTTCCAACCTAAATTATTCTGATTTACGTAACCCTGAAATTGATTCGGTAAAAATCAGTCTTCATCATGGCCAGTCTTCGTGAACGAAGATTTGGGAAAGGTCTCTACCCACATTTGTTACAAGGACGCTGGTGATACAGGGCTTTGCAAATGCGGGTAAGGCCTTCAAGCCTGCGCAATGGATTTTTTAGGTGAGACACAGTGTGCGCTGAACTGAGCCCACCCTTTAATCCTAAGGTTCATCTGCCGGGGCCGAGCAAACTCGGACGGTGGCAGCGAGGTCCTCAGGACGTAGGTTTGTTTAGAGTGACCTTCGCTTAGATGGATGGCCTTACAGGGCTGAACGAGCTCCATCTGCCCGGGTTTAGAGCTGTCCTTCTCTTCTGTGTGTTCCGAGGCTCCCCTCTCATCTCCCACGATGGCACTGTCCGCACAGGCGAAGCTCCCATTCCCTCGCTCCTTTCCGCGCCCGGGGCCGGGCCCAGCGCCCAGGGCCAGCCGGGACGCCGCAAAGCGTGAGTTCCAGGGCCGGCCCAAAAAAAAAAAAAAAAAAGCAGTCTTGGGCAGCTGAGAACTGACCTCTTCCACGCCTTTCATTTTCATTTTTTGGCTGATTTCTGAAGAGTGAAATATTCCTTTACTAAGATTTCCGAGTAAGTTTGCAGACTTAAGCAGTACAGATGCATGTCTGATTTTTAAAACATATCATTTAAAATGTACCTCAGACATTTTTTATGAAACTCTCATTATACTTGCAGTGCAGGTCTCCTTTCCTTTTGTCAACGAAATGTTAATGCCTGTCTTTTGTAACTGCCTGACACAAGGAGACACTAAATTAAGATCATCATAACATTTGGAATGCTTAAGTATTAGGGAATGGGATGGAATTGTTTGTGGTTGAATAATTAATACAATCAAATGGTGTCAGGAAGGAGAAGCAGCAAGCTTCTACCTGACCTTTCTTATTCATCAGATTTAACTATTTTTGCTGAAGTAATCTGCATTTCATCTCCCATTTTGTAGACCAGCCTTATGCCTGAAATGAGTAGAAAAGAATTCATGTCAGTAGGGTGTGGTATTACGCTGTTATTATCATATCTCATGCAATGCAGATGGGCTTTCTCTCTGAGGTAGTTCAAGAGAAAAAGGGCTGAGCTCCTTAACTTTGGAAGAGTCAAGTATGTAAACAGTGTCCTTACAATAAACGTGCCAAAAGCAGAAGTTCGCAGTATTACCTGACTGTAGATACTGACATAGTTCTGAGAAAGAGCAGCAGTAATCTATCATGAATTTTCCATTACCAACTAACATGTTGATGACTCCTCTATAGGAATTTAAGATACTCACTGACGCTTCAGGATACAAAGGAGCACCAGGAGAAACTGGTGCACCAGAGGACTAGGCTGTTTATGAGCTATTGTAAATCATCCTCTTCAGTAACTACAGGTTCTTTTAGACAGAGTGAAACATATTCAGGGCAAGTAATATGTGTGGGGATGCTCATGATGGTGAGGGACTGTTAATCGAGTGGCTGAACACTGTGCTCAAGGGGAATAATCCATGGGTTTGCTACCAAAAGCTATTTATAGAGCGACCTGGAAGGGTAAAATGGAAGGGAAAATGGGAATACTGCAGATCTATGTCAGTGTAAACTGAGTTACCCCGGGATCCCTCAGCAGAGCAGGGAACAGTCTTCTTGCCCAGGGCAAGGAGAGTTTCCAACTTCACACATACCCTGTAAGTTCCTGTTTACAGCTCAATTACCTATGGCTCACCTAGGTAGGATGGCTTTTTCCCTGTCTTAACTCCTTAAGTGGTAACCACAGGAACTGTCCAGCTCCTGCTTTTCTCTCTCAATAAAGCAGCACTCAAAGGCTTTACTTGCTCTGCCTGTGTGGGTGCAGCATCTTAAACCAGCACTCTTTAAAAACCTTCCCTAAACATTTCTCAACAGGGAAGCTGCAGTCAGACAGACAATGAAAGCTACGTAAGAACTGATGATGAGGAGAGCTGCTTTCGGACAGACGATGAAGAAAACTCAGCTGCAAACTTCACAGAAGAATGGAACCAAGAGGTGCAGCGTCTCTTGGCAAAAAAATCACATAACTAAGTTCTGAGGACTGTAGCACAGTACTTTTGTTCTAAGAGTTGTAGTTTGTAGATGTGTGTTTTTGACAACAAGACTTTTGTTTAAAGCTAACTTATATTAGCTACATCTTCTGTAACATGGCTCATTACTGGTGAAGCAAACAGACTGATGTACGTACTGCTGTTACACAGGACAGTGGTATTAATAACTCACGTGAACCCTTTGCACATGATATTGAACCTGTTCAGTTTACAATGACAATACTGTTTATAGATAGAAATTTGATTTCTGAATACTTTGAGATTTTAGTAGATTGGTTTACTATACACTGTACATTTTTTTCCACAGATGAAATAAAAAGCGACAATTATGCATTTAACACTGAATAATAATACTCCTGAGTGTATATATCTAGTAGCCCAAAAAACAAAGTACCAGACTATCTTTGCAATTTGTTTGCAAGTCTTTAAATTAAGGCTTATACAAAATGTACTAAAATAATAATTATAATAATATAATTAATAATAATAATAAACTTCTCTAATTTAGGGCTAATGTGTAACTTAGGAATGTTTCTTTCAAAATAATCTAACAAATCAGCCATAGAAGTTAGTGTAAATATTTTTTTTCCAAATAGATATCATATACAAAAGGTGACATTCAAATGATATAGAATCTAGTTTTTAAATCAGCACAGATCTTCTTAAAACTGTGAACTATGTTTTGAAATACTCGTTGCTAAAGCTGTTTATAAACCACAGGTGCCATAAGATCCCTGAACTGACTGATGTTACGTATAATCCTCCATGGTATTGTTTCATTGATGTTTTAGCTTTAGTAGGCATGTGTTCAACAAACTGGCTCTTTCCATCTTTCTGCCCCTCCTCTCCTCCCCGCCCCCCTTCATTATGTTATTTTCGAGGCCTTCAGCTTTAAATGTACAGGCTTAAAGTGCGCTTGCAACTGTTCTCTTTTGATTTCCGAATGTGTACTGCCTTAGCCAGCCACCAGATGTTCTGCATGCTCTCTTGGAAATGTGTAGTGAGACTCCTTCAGAGCTGGATGGAGAAATAGCGATCAGTGAAAAGCACAAGAAGAGCGGTGGATTTTTTCGAAAGGACAGGCATATAGTTACAGGGTTGGAGATTGGTCTGGTTCAGTATTTTTCCAGTATCAAGGCATTTCAGGAGAAAGGAGACTGACCTGGCCATTGTGGGTGAGACAGTGAGACTGCTGGCTAAGAAGTGTTTGCTCTGCTGTGACTACAAACCTACAGATGTCCTGAGCAGGGATTGACACAAATCAGCTGTAACGTGCTCCCCAGAGCACACTGCTTGGAAATAAAGGTGACACTCATATGGCACATAGCACTGCCCTGCAGAGAAACCAGAGCCAGGCCCTCAAGAGCTGGAGCAGCAGCAGTCAGGGACACCAGGAGATGTTCCATGCTGGCTGCCCAGCCCTCCTGAGCTGCACAGTGTATGAGCTCGGGACCACCTCTGTGCCAAGGTAATTTTACTGTCCTAATACAACATTAGGCTTCCAGTACCTGGCTGATCTGAACTGACACTGTCTAACGGCCCTAAAAACAGTGGTGTTTCATACAGATATTTCACACCAGCATAGTTTGCCTACAGCAAGTGATGAGATACCCATCTAAAGCAGGTGAACATGGCTTGTCTGTCCTTGCTTTCATGGTGACATGGATGTGCACTGCCATATTTACGTGAGATTGTAGCTCAACCCAGTAAATCCACTTGTTTGCATGTACTCTCCAGGCTCATGGCTGTTTCCCTGGGCACTATGTGTTAGGGAATGAGTATCTGTATGAAAGAGCTGCTGCCATTTCTCACTTCCATATTGTTTTATTGCGTATGCAGATCTCTTGTCCACATCTCCTTGCATATCTGGGCTTGGTCTCAGACATCCAAATGCATACTAAGGGGTCTAGATATCTTCATGTAAGCTTTTCATTTTTGTAATCACTGGTCTTTGCTCCTGGGGTATGTGCCACCCTAGCAAGGCAGGCACCATATCCTCCACTGCCTCCTCCTCCAACCTCCTCTCAGGAATGGGTTAGCCTCCACTAGTGCCTAGCACTCCATGTTTGAAGCTACTCCAGTGAACCTGTAGACATTGCTGTCAGCTCAGGATTCCAAGTAAGCATTTTCTGAACAGGAAGAAGACAAGCTAGAACACAGCTACATGCAATGGCTGATTAATTCTACCCATGTCATGTTTAACTGTACCCAGAGTAAGAGATCCCTCTCATCATCTTAATGTCTGCGTGCTCATTATCACCATGCTTAAAATAGATGCAGTAAACTAAATCCATTGCAAGAGCTTCTGAACTAGGAGTAGTGACTAAAGTTCACTAATCAAGTACTTTTCTTTTAGGCTGGTGTCAACAAGCCTTAGAGCTGGAGTTCTGGGTCCCTTATGCCCTGGAGCTCTGAGATGAAGCACCTCTTACTTAGCTCTCCAAATGTCTATTTTAAGCATTTTCCAACTGTTAAGCTGGCTGCATTTTCACCCAGCTGGTCTTTGTCTGTTTGTTGAATATTATTTTGGTTGTGGTTTGCGGTCATTAAAACAGTTACAGAAGAGGTCCCTGGCGTGGCCCTTTTCTTAACTACCAATGGCCCACCACAGCAGTCAAAACTCCGGGTGGTTTTACTGTCACTGGGGGAAAACCAGTGGTTTGGAATCAGGAGACAGGGATGTGAAGATGTATAGGGTCCTTGAATGTCCAAAGCGAAGGTGGAGAATGGGTTGTCTGTAAGTAGTAATGTTAACTAAACTGCATAAAAAGGTGTGTGGCCTTTGTTGTGATATAATATGTATTTTCTTATATGCATGAGCCAAATTGTTGCATCATAATTTATCATAAGTGTGTCCACCTTTACTTTCAGTTGTCATCTTCTCCCATCCTTATTGGTTCTTGGCAATTACTGTAGATAGACCTTGTAAATATTGCAACCTCGAGTTGCTGTAATCACGTTGGTTCAATTCAGCAGACGGAGCTGTGAACAACAAGCACTCCACTGTGTCCTGAAGACAAAAGGGCATTTTTACCTTTGAACCAAAAAAATTAAAAAAAGTATGAGGAGTTACATCTTGAGGCTACTAACTGTAAGACATTTTTAAAACTACTGTACTTGACACCACTTGAGACAGATATAGAGACACTAAAGATGTCACGATATTCATTGGTATTGTAACAGAACTGCTATTGTATGGGGTTTTTGTATTGCTGTTAAGTATTGTTTTGTGTGTGTGTGTTGGAACCTACTGGGGACATGTTATATTTTGAAGTGATTAAACTATTTAATTGTGTGTCTATATTTTGGAATGGAATTATTTCTTCATTAAAAAGATTTTTAAAAGGAATTTATGGAGCATCGTGTTTGTGGCTTTTTATGGGTTTGGATGTCCTGTTCCACGTAGCCCAAGCAGCGTTTTCTTTTAGCAGGGAAAGAAACTCCATCTCCATGGTGCAGCAAAAAGCCTTTTCTTCATCCACACTGTCTCCTCTTCACAAGAGAACTCCATCCACCTCCTTCGGAAGTGCTTTGAACATGGTACAGAGCAGTACCCACTTTCAGTGGCCCAAGCAGTTTCTTCTTTCTTCCTTTCTTAATTTTCTATATCTTTAGCAGTTTCACATCCTGAAAATGCAGTTCCCCTGTCTGTAAAATACCTGCCCCTGTATCCACTTAACAGCAATGAAAATGACCATAAGCAGAGACACCAGGGCCTGAGAAGGTGCCTGGTACAGACTTATGAGGGGGGACCCTGGTCCTCAGGAACCTAAACTACCTGCAGTGGTGTGATTTTTTCTTACCGACTGTGTTTGTCTGGCCTTAGAAGGAGCAAGACCTTGGAACCGACACATTTGAATGGCTTTACCATACACAGTTACTTGTTTTATTGCAGAAGGACATAAAGTCTTTGTTTTTCCAATTACACTTTGAAGATATCTTTCTGTATCAGTTGTTGGTAATTACAACTGATTGCTAACCTAAAAGAGCATGGCAAGAGCTCCTGCTTAAAGCAACAAGTTTGTGTCCTGATGCAGTGCTTGGAGGTGCTTCATCAGGACGCAGCAGTGTATGGAGGCAGTGCCCGGCTGTGCTGCTGGCCCGTGGTGGGAGCCCTTCCCAGCTCTGCCACTGCCATGGCAGAGCATCCCACTGGCAGCTCAGTGCAGCCAAAGTGTCGACAGCTGTGCACACAGCATTGTTAGCTGGCCAATTAGTTACACCAGGGTGAGATCTGTTAGAAGGAAAGCAGTAGCAGCACACCAAAAATATTCTCTATATACTTACCAGATATCCCAGTGTCTTGGGAAGCTGATAGAGCCAAGTCTGCTGCCTCCTTCAGTGTTGACTGCTGTGGTAACCTATAAATCACCAGGGTTTATTTGCCCTAATTCCCCTGTCTACACGGTGACGTTCTTCAATAAAGAGGATCATTTTACACTGTAAATTATTTGCCAGATCTGCTGAACTTTGCCTCCACAATCCCAGTCCAAATTCATATCCGCAGGATTGTAATGTATGATGACATATCGTCAGCTCATGAGGATAGCTCTGTTTTATCCATGCATAATCCCAAATTGCTGTATTTCTTCCTAACCCACAATCAAGTCTGTGGCCCTTGGGGAACAAAGGAGCCAGTGAAAATTAATTTACAAAGGCTGTTTTCCTCTTTCCCTCTTGGTTACTCTAGCTGCTTTCTGCTCCCCACAAGGAAAATAGACTTATATGGGAAGAAATAAATTGTTTCATTTGCAAGAGGAAATAAAATAAAAATACTAAAATAAACCCAGTAAAATTTTAAATAAATAAATAAATAAGTGGTCTAAGTTGGTACATTGGCTGCATCAGCACTGAACTAGGGGACTAAAAGCATCTGGAACTTTCTAAAAGCACCTGGGAATTTCACTCAGCTGCACACAGTTCTATGATCACTCTTCCAAAATTTGCCTGGGAGGCCTGTTATTCAGCAGCTGCATATTCCCATGCAAGCAGCCCTTAGTTCTGGGTGAAACTTCGTAAGAGAGTAATGCAGGAATATGAAGCTGAGTTTATCACAGAAATAGGTTATGTGGAGTAGGAAGAGAAGTCTCCTCTATTGTTGCACAAAGCAAAATGCATTGAAGAATTTCATATGCTTCAGGATCATCCCATGTAATACCCCAGATAATCTGCATATTAAGGATTCCTCTTTGCTTTCTCCTGAGTGATTGTGACCAGTTGAGTTGCCTGTGGATTACGACGGCTATCCCACACTGTCAGCACTGCACCAACACACCTTTGGCTGTAAAGGGCAAAGCAGCAGAATTAGGCTGCACCTCTCCCTGCCTTCCCATTTGCCTGGGAACAGATCTCAGATTGGGATAAGCCTTTCTGAGGGCCCACAGTTCTGGAGCTTTTTAAAAAAGAAACTGTTTTGGGGAAGCAACCTCTTAAGACAAGGCTGGGGGCTGTGCACAGGTCAGTAGGGGAATCATGCAGCCACATCATGCTAACTAACATAAGATGGTTAATGCAGCTTGGAGATATTAAAGACTAAAGAGATAGGTGATGTTAAAGAGTAGTTGCTTTTCTGTGTCTTGGAAGGAAATGAAGGAGGCCCTGGTGCATTTTGTCATTCGTATGTGATGCTGAAGAATGTAGTTTGCTATTTAATACAACAAAATTTACCACTAGCAAATTAATTTCCTCATGACTTACATTTTTTGCAGAACACTCAGCAGTGGCCAGATGGCAGATGTGTTAGGCCTGCTGCTTGTTATGCTAATTGTCAGCCGTAAAAGCATGAAAGCTGCCCAGTTAACACTTCTCGCCTGCTTGTTATAGCCCAATGTTGCTGTTAGAGGCCAGCATTGCCTGCAGCCAGCAGGTTCAGTCAAAAGAGGCACCCTTCAACTGCATGTTTTGACTGGTTTTCTTGTTACTGCTCAGTTCAGTTTTGACCCCTTTTTGGTACATTCCTGTCCAAAAAAAGCATGGGTCAAACTGGTTTCCAGTATGGGGGTGTGTCTGTGTGCACCTGCGTTTGATCTTCGCAGCGCCCAGATCCCTGAAAGCCTCCCCTAACCCCAGCGTGAAGCACTGAGCATCCATCCCTGCTCTTCCTCCCTCCACCACATGCACCTCAGTACAATTTCAAGATGTCAGGTGCTCCTCACCTGCACCACCATTTTTCTTTATGTTTTTCTGGGCATTTCAGTCTCACACCAGGGCAAAATGAGATTTGCCTGAAACCTCCCTGAAAGCTGTCCAGCACCACCTCATGGAGCAGAGGCTGCTGCTCGTCTGGGAAGGACATTTCTCACCTCTGCCCTCCTGTCCCTCTTCCCACAGAAGCTGCCATGGGGCCCAGACTGGAGTTTCTCCTGGGTGGGATCCCTTGCTCAAGTCAAAAGGTGTTTTTGGAATCCAAAATCCTTCCCTGGTTTCACTGAACATATTTGTACCCCTCTGCCCCATAGAGTTACCTCCCCTCCTGCACCCCTCACTGGTGCCAAGTCCAATTACACTTCTTTTTTTTTTTTTTGCTTATTTTGCTTTCTTGTTTTTTAAAGCTTCTGGCAATCACTTTAAATCCCCAATAAAGTTATGCTCCTACACTGCTGCTATCAGCAGGAATCAGGTGCTTAGCAGGACTCTGCACTTCTTCAACATCTGCCTTCATGTGAAAAACCAAGAGCTTGCAGGCTATGTAAGAAACACCTTTCATCACCATACTTATTATGTAGGTACAACTAAACTTAGAAACCCTCCCCAAGAGACGCCAGTTCTGACAAACAGCCCTGTTACCCTATCCACAAAGTAGAAAAGTTGTGTTTTAGTGCTTTTAAGTGCCACTGTGTGCTCTCCAGAGCCAGTTTTTCATTTGCTACCTATAACTGCATCCTGGCTCTCACCTCATTTGCCCAGAGACCCCCACAGCCCCCAGCAGACTGAGGGGCTTGAGCCCTGCTTGTTTCGGCTGAAAGGCTGACACTTAAGCTAGTGCAGATGGTAATTGGTACTTGAGGGAGCGTTGCTTCCAGGGAATCCTCTCATCACTCGCTCTGAGTCATATGGTTACTGGAGGACACTTCACCAGAAACACATTTTCTGCCACGTTTTCTATCTAAGCTCTCACAAATTAACTGAGTTCATGTATAAATGTAAGAAGGAGGAATGCAGAACACTTTTATAAGGTTGCAATTATGAGAAATGTATGCAGACAGACACCTGTTCACCAATTAAAAACTGGGTTTATATAGAGGTTATACAAAGTCTGCACAGTTCTAGTATTGATTGTTTGTCTGGCAAAGTGATAATCAACAGAAAAATTAACTGGGTTTGACTGCAAGTTGGGATTGCCAAGGCTGATGGTGCCCAGAAGCAGAAAAATTAAACTGTTTTATGTTTATCTGAGGATGCTTCACTTAACCTAACAGGAGAAAACCCGGAGGACTAAAACCAAATGAAAACCAGATCACTGGTTCAGTCGCTATTCAGTGGCCAGCTACTGCTTTCCTTGGGAAGCAATTCATTATTACATTTTGCACTGCTGGGAATGAAACATCTCATCAGCTCAGTTAATGCTGCCGAGTAGCAGGTGGTTTTCCTGCCATGAGGACACAGTGGGCACAGTCCCACCATGGCTGGGCCATTAGGTACAGCTGAGGTACACCAACAGAAATTTGCTCTAATAGCTTTCTCAATCTGATAGCAGGACTGCATCTGCTTAGCCCTTTAATAAAAGGTGATGAATAACCATGGGGTGTTTTCCCTGGCAGCTGAAACCTTTTCCAAGATGGAAATAATGTTCATGTCTTTAGTCACCTAACAGATGAGACAGAAAAACTGGTGGCCTTGTCCAGAAACCATGAGCCAAGCCTAATTCTGGGGTGAGGTTTCACACTCAAGCTGTGTGACCAGCACATTAAAAAAAAACTGGGAAAGACAAGACTTGAGTTATGTTGAGTGTCTGCGTCATGCCCTGTTGCCTAGGTAGCTACATTTAACATTCAGGGCCTTGTTTCTAGGAGTTATGAGCTAGGGAGATAAACAAGCTCTTTTAAGGATTCAGAAGAGAAGAGGACTCAAATTTGGTTTGTTATATTTACTTTGTTGTGCTCATTTAGACATTCATGGTCTAATGATGACCCAGAAACACAGATAGCCTGCGGAAGTGTTTCCCTTGCTCTCTTCAGCCAGCTTTGTATGCCTAGCCCTGTATAATCCCTGGCACGGACACACACACACCTCCCTACACCGATCAGTTTGTTACGTTAAGGAAAAAGTGACACTCCAGACTGCACAGGGTGAGTCAAATGTAGTAAGAGGCTACCCTCTCCAGTTTGCATGGATCAGGCTGCTCTCATTT